GCGTTAGTTGCACTTGCTTCAGCTGAGTTATGCCGCACACTTCCTATAAATATATTTATACTGTACGAGTTAAGAATGTAAGATGTAGCGGCACTAAAAGTGAAATGCTCCCTTACTATACACAAGATCCAAAAATACACCAACAAGGCCAAATTCAGACTTCTTTCCTTTCCCACTGTGACTGCAGGTCTGTGCTAATTCTGTGGAAATTAGCCCAGATAACAGTCTCGCGATGATATCGTCTAAATCTCGTCCCCCAACATAACCAAGTTGAATACTCTGAAAGTAATGACACTTATGTAAGTAATAAAATTAGGGTTGTATTCATAAATTGCCTATGATTCACCTACCAATTCTTCAATGTTCGACTGATCCCGCTTAAGCCAGTCACTCAATTTGTAAAAATCCTCTTTATTACAAACCGGTAGTTTTGGATGATCCAGCTGGCAGAAGGTACACGTGGAGCAAGTGTTGAAGTTCGACGAAGCAACTCGACCAATGTTTCGTTAATTTTTACTAACTCCTTCACCACCACTGCCTGTAAGTCTACGGACACAGACGGCATAGATTGTACTCATTATTCAATGACACTGTTTAGGAAAAATTAGTACAAACGAGTAGTAGAAATAATTACTTACTTTGAGATTCAGTCTTCAGATCTCGAACCAGTGTCACAAGTTCTGCAACAGTTTCTGGATTCGTAATCTCAACATAGGAGAATGTCGTTTCGTTATTGCCTGATTGATCAAACAAATTCTCCTCCGCCTGGGAAGAATTATGAGATTGTGGGAGGGCCGACAAAGGCTGAACTTGAGAATTTGTGCTGAGACTAATGCTGGGTGCTGGAACATTACCACAATGTTATTATATAAATTTATCCCAATTTAATGTGTACTGAAACAGAATAAAAATTGCTCACTGGTCGGGATAAATGATGTGACCGGTAATGTTTCACATTCTTCAGACGACAAGCTGCTCTCGTCAGAACTGGTCGACTCGGAATATTTTGTAGAGGGAGTAGATTTAGCTGCGGATTGCCCTTTTCGCGTATTTCTCTGTTTTTTATGAGTTGTTTCCTCAAATTCTGATGGAGGTATCTTGTCGGTAGATTTAGCCGCAATACATTTTTTCCTTGCTGACTTAAGAGAATCTGCGAACCGACAAATGTTTAAATAATTGAAATTATATCTCTAAAGGTTAATATAAAAGTATTGAATCCCCAAATCTGCTCACAAAGCCAAATGCATGGTTATTGTATTATTGTGTAATTTATAATTTTTTTGTCATTACAATTTATATTCGATATTAAATTGTTATCAAATTACTTACTATAAGACATGAGCCACTGACAAGGGAATTTTGGCGCATCTAAATCTGCTGGAAGATTCTTACGCAATTTGTCCCCTGCGTTTGGCCCAATTGGCCACGAACAGATGGATTTGTCTTCATTTAACCACGATGAGCACACGGCCGCAACTGTATTTTCGTCATGGAAATTGACAACGGAGTACTTTTTAATTTCGCTGCTCATTATAAAATTAAATTTATCGACAAAAAATAAGACTACAGCCAAGGGAAGAATGGAGGAAGAATCAAAGTGATATGCCACTAATGCACGTGTTCTCTTCTCTCCTGGGGAGGATGATACAGAGTCGGATCGGATTCAGCGACGAGGATTCTGATGTAAAGCGTGCAGCCGAATTCGTTCCGGCTTCTCATGTCCGATGCCAAAACGCATATGAATATCTCGAATCGATTCAGAATCTGAAAGGAAACCCTTAAGCGAATTCGATATGAATGCGATACTACGCATTTAATCCTAATTCTGTTTTATGTCGTTACTAAGTCGGCGAATTCTGCTCCCCAAATCAGCATTTGGCCCGAATTCGTTATTAAGAGTCGTATCAACTTCGGGATTTCGAATTAAATTTGAATTCTGATGTTGGATCGGAATGAAGTCGGCGAATTCTCACGAACTAAATACGACGATTCCGACCTGAAACAGAATTCGTGGCGAATGCGGAGGCACATTGGGATTACTCCTGCCATTTAAAAAAAACTCTCTTAGATTTGTATGTAACCCACATATTTTTGAAAGCATAAAAGGTGAGGTCTCACCGTCATCGTGGGGATCCACGATTCGCAACATATTTACGTAGGAAATGGTGACCCGAAGGAAACAGATGGCGCAGGAAAATTGCTCGGGTGAAAGCATGCAAATCGTATCTCTCGTCTCAACAGCAGTTTGATTGGTTGCATCCACTTTGCTGGAAGTGATTGAGTGACGGCTCAGACACAAGTTGGAGGAAATAATGAACTGACAAAATGTCCTCCACGAATTGTTCTCATTTCATGCCACTTCTGTCTCATTCGTCTCAAAATCTCCCAATCTGACGTATTTCTTGTACCTATTTACGTAGATAGCGTACGTACTGCAGTCCTTGTAACTTTTAACAGTCAGTCGAGCCGAGGGCACGAAATTCCGCTGAGAACTTCTTCGGACTCTTGCTGCAGGCTGAAGGAGTTTGATTGTGAGTGAAAGCAATGCACCGGAACGAGTTTAAGAGATTTTATCTAATCGTCGAGAGAGGGAATTATCCGCTCGATCCATACTGCCTGATTTTCGCCTCCTCTCCCAATCTCCTCGCATGCAGTTGTTCCCATCCTTCATCTTCCCAGCCATACATAGTCTCCTGCATCATGCATATGTAGGTAGGTATCTACAGCCCGATGAGATTGTGATGGTGATGCTCACGGGAAAAAAAATGGAAAAATGCACGTCTGTGTCCTCTCCCAAATGGACAAGTTGTTCTCGAACGCATGGGGACCCAGTCCAGGTTTCGAATGACTTGAGAAACAGGGCTGATAACAAGAAGTTGAGTGTCGAGATGATTTCGAGAGTCGTGAGACGCCGTTGTTTGTTTGGTGCTGGTTTGTGGGTGGGTGGGTGGAGGAGGAGGGAGGAGTGTAATCGAGCGGAGAAATAACATTTTGATTTCGATTCCGTATTACGTTTTTTAGCCCGAACCAGGGCTTATGTAATTGTCATGTCCGTCTGTCTGTCTGTCTGTCTGTCTTTCGATAACTCTCGAACGAGTTGACCGATTGACTTGAAATTTTTACCATATGCATATTGGACAAAGTTAAGAAACGAGTTCGAAGATGGGTGAGATTGGTCCAGTGGTTGACCGGTGGGGGTCATCGGAGTGGGTGGGGTATTATGCACCAAAATTTCAAAATCGTCATAGAAAGCTCAAATTTGGTACAAAGGTTGCTAATGGCCCGTAATGAAAGAATATGAAGTGAAATTGTAAAATTTTCATCTAGAGGGACCCGATGGAGTGACCCCCACCGATTTTCAGAAATTAACATAGAAAGCTGAAATTTGGACCAGAGATCCATACTGCTTTTTCACGAAATAACATGAAGTTAAATATGAACAAAAATTAACCAGGGGGGCTATAGAGACGACCTCCACTGGGAAGTAGTCAAGGGAAGGGATAGTAAATATTTTTAGAATTTGGAGCCTAGTAATACGAAGGATTGATGGAAGAATTAGTGCAAAATAGTAGCACATAATTTCATAGAAACTACTGACAAACATGGGTTTACTAATCGTTCCTGGTTCGGGCTAAGCAAAGCTGTACTGATAGGTTTTTAATTTATATCTGCACCACCAGGCAGGCCAGGCAGGTTATTAATGGCTTCATCAAGCCCTGATGGGTCTTGTACTCTGTTATGAGCTAGATAAAAGTGATGGTGTTTGGATGGTCGAGTTAAATGAGGCGTGCTTAATGCTTGCTTCTCTTTGATATCATCACTTCACAAAGATGTATAAAGTTACATTGGCTACATTTCATTTGTACACTCCCGAATGTGGCTGCTGCACATATAACGTTTCACTGGCTGAGGTATACCTGGTGGAATGCAGATCATAATGTAGCTCAAAAATCTGACATTACAAGATGGCAACCATAATGAAAAAATTCGAGGCAAGGAACCGTGATTTTTCTTCAAGTACCTCCTTCAATATGGAGTAACATTCCATAATGAATATTATCAATTTCTATGCACTCTGTTCGTATCTGCAAATGGGAAACATGAGTTTCAAAAACTCGTACCCTTTTCTCGATACTCTGATGAGGAACAAGTGCTGTTTGGTTGCATCACATTGATCCCTTGCGTAGGTTCATTGGAAGTCGGTTGGTGGGCGACTTTAGGAGTTGCATGCACTTCTTTTCAATGGAGGCCCTTGACTATCGAAGGATTCAGCACTATATTTTTTGACAGTGCATCGTTGTTGTGGGGAAAAAGTGTTGGGTTCCCACAAATGAAACCGCTCCTGCTCGCAAGCTCCTATACTAATTAAGAAAATTACAAGAAGAATGGACAATGAGAGAATATTTCTTGCAATTTGCAAGTTAAATGGCTAATTAATAAGACGTGTAGTACAATGTCTCAACCTGTTGCGGATTGGGGAAGGGATTGGCATAATGCATAAGAAGAAAAATGAAGCTCACATTTCATTCCGTGTAAAAATCAAGTGCAGTCAGACCATGGATGAATGGTCGACTTGGGCGGAAAGCGAACTCGCTATTTTACACACTGCCACCACAAGTCGTTGCATGAAAGATATCATTGTGCCATCGGAACGACGAGGCTTGGGCAGGTTTAAAAGCCTCGCTTGCCAAGAACAGAGCCATTCACCATGCAGTGTAAAACAAACACACGGGCTGAAAACCAAGGCACACCCACCATTCGTGAAATTCAGGAAATGACGCGACCAGGTCACTCTCTGGGGATGAGAGGACGGGGGAATCAACTTTCACCCTGAGGACGGGCGTCACGCGGTTTGTGGGGGGACCCATATTCGTCATGCATTTAAGCAGGCATTGCTTGTGCTGATCTCACCCTTTTTCTGGTTATTCAGATGATTTAAAGAGAGAGATTTGTGGTGATTTTTGTCCTGTTTTGAGGGCGGAGGGAGTTTGTTGCGAGGGCGTCGGTTTCGTCGGTGAATGCGCCATTGGAGAGCCAACTTCACTTCATTGACTCCCAAAGAGTCGTGACTTGTTCCTTGTTCCTCTCGTGTCCCGCAGAAGCAGAGAAGCGCAAGATCAACCAACCAACAAGTCAACCACGGAGAAGACGATCTCCTTTATTGCTTGTCGTTGTCCGGTGCCATCACATTGCTTTCTGCTCCACCACCAATTTATCGCTAATTGACCGAAACCTCAATACCAATTACTCCCTCGTACTCACTCCAATCGTGCAAGTCGGAGACTCGGTGAAAGTTTGGCAGCCAGTCAGTTGCAATTCATATGCAAATATGCGTGGTGAAAGTTAAAAGTCTCATCTTCCCCAACGCTGGACGCATTCTGTTGATCGGGTTGTGTTGCCTTGTCTCAATTTCATGCCACGGTCGTTAAAAGTGTCAAAATACTTTTGGACAGAGTGCTCTCTTATAATTGGTGAAAGTTTTTAGAATTTTAATTACATTTTACAAGTAAACCTATGTTTTTGAACTTGTCAGCTGAAAGTGAGTAATAGTATGACGTTCCTAGCTCGAATTTCACCCGGACATGATCAAAGTGGTCAAGTATCCTGCTTTTTAGGACGGATTCATTATTAGTTTGAGCAATTTGAAAGTGAAAAGTGGAGTGAAAGTGTTCGAAAAGTAAACTGGCCCTCATGGGTATGGGTGAGTCCATTTCAATGTCTTATTCACTGCACCCACATGACTCCTCGAGGACATGGTCGCAGGTTTTCTTGTTGTCAACTCCAGATCGCCAATTGGATACGTGGCGAGGTCAGTAGGAGTGTGAAAAAAAGAAAATCACGAAAACTGCCGCACCAAAGCCCTCACCAAAACTCCAATGTTCCTCAGATTTTGATAATGCTTGTTTTTCCGTGCTTCCACACAGTACCCAATCTATCCAATAGAAATCTCAGATTTTATTAGTTTTTTAATTTAAAATTTTGAAAGTATTGACAAAATGGAAAGTTTTAAAAAGGTGAGTTTAAAGGATATGTAAGCAGCTACCTGGGAGCACGGAAGTGCAAAAATTATCAACATCCGAGGAAAACTGAATTTTTAACTGTAGTTTGTACACACGAGAACAGGGCTTTTTTACGTTTTTCACACCTTTGAGTGGGTGTGGCGGTCGCTAATGGCCCCATCGAGCTTAATCCTTGTATACTTTTTCTACACTCGTAGAACCCTACAACATGTCCAAAGGGGATCAATATCTGGTGTACCTTATATTCCTAAACTTATTTCTTTAAGGCGCATGCACAATTTCTCAAAACCAAATGGTTAGCATTCAATTTTGCATAAGTAGAACTATTGAGGAGTAACTGCGTGCGCGGTCATCCAGCAACATTCCATCGGCGTTGGTGCACTGAAACATATCGACCTATGCGGTGACCCCTTGAGTTTGATTCGTCACCCATCACCGCACCAGACATCAAGTCCACAACTCTAAGTTCAATCCCATCCCACTAATTGCACACAAATTGGCAACCATTAACTCACCAACTAATCAGCCACGAGAGAAATAATTATAAATAAGCTGTCTATTTCTACATAAAGGTTTTACGTGAGAAGTTTCCCACATCTTTAGAGAAAAAGAGAATCGCACATTTTTTGAAAGAGTTGTCCGATGATTTTAAAAGATTGTTGTTTTCTTCGCCAAGAAACGCTTCGGTTGATCTCCACCCGTCTTGCAAAACAACTCTTATTAAGCTTCAACCCAACGTAAATTACAATCCCAGAGAGACGACGGCGAGGAGGAGAGAGAACAACACAATTTAGCTTGGTCGTCCTGAAAAAATGTTCCTTCCTCCTCCTCCCGTCCCGTGTTTAACATCAATTCTCCAGATTTTCCACTCTGGTTTTATCACTCTCTCTCTCTCTCTCTCGAATAAAGAGAGAGATGGGAAATCTCGGCTAATTTATTTATTCATTTGCCACCGGGATGGATCATAAAACGAGGAGAATTCGAATGGGATGGATGATGACCAATTTGTTCTTTATTGTGTAACGACTCCTGTAAATTATAGAGACGTTACCTACACTGTTACTTGGTTTTGTACGGTTTGCGATGCTTACTCGATGTCGCATAAATGTTACACAATCAGGATTCATTGCATTGTGAGATGACTCGAGTAAAACGACGACGACGACCTGACATTTCCCATAAATGACACGAGTTTATTTAGGCTGCGTGCATAATCCGTAACATCTTTGTTGAACCAACTCGAAACTGTCGAGTCGACATTGCACTGCGATTTAGTTGGTGGGGTGGGCTTGTAAATAAAAATAAACAGATTGAAATTTATGACCTGACCAACAACTCGAGTGTCCAGTTTCGGGAGGCGAACCCATAAATATGCTCACTTTAAATACTTACTCTTACTCGTACTCCACAAACTAGGTGCATAGCTAGAAGAATAATACATATGTAGGTTAGTTAGTTATGCAAGTACTTAAGTTTCGTTAGCTCTTCGTCTCAAGTGCATCATGGGATGCAGTTTGCTACCTGATCGGTGAGAGGACTGAATTCGCTGTTGTAATCTAAAAGTGTTTAAATGCAGGATGAAAGTCACGAGGATGCGTTTCTTCGTTGCATATATTTCCTCAAGAATATTGTCCGACATCATTGCTCCTTTGCATCGGTTGTGGTTGCATAATTGTCGCCCTCGTTCCGTTACCTGAGCCCTTCTTGGTCTCTGTCGCTCTCTCTCTCTGGTCGCTTCGGTTTAATGAGTTGCATCTGTCCGTGCAGTGCAGGGCGCAGATGTTGCCCACCCCACGTTACCTCAAATCTAGCCTCTCTCTGATGTCGTCCCATTTCTCTTACCAGTATGTGCAGCCCCACATTTTTCATTTACACCGCCACCACTCACTTAAGAATGACCAGGCAGAGAGAGAGAGAGAAAGAGAGAGTGGGGGCAAAGGTCCATAAATCACTCCCACTTATTGTTCAACGTCCGTCTCATTTTGCTAGTTTGCTAAAATTGGGAAACTAACTTTGCATCTGGCTCCAGTACGATCTGGATGGTGAAACGTCGCGAAATATATTTTCATTTGGTTCGAGATGTTCGATAGTAAGCGAGCGAGATTACGTAAAAGCGATTAGTGGTTGAATTGTTGTATTAAGAAGAAGGGTCGACTCCCATCGACAAGCCAGATCTACACATTCTGTCAATCAGGCTTTCTGTTATGTTATCCCGAATGTATGCATTTGTACGTACATGCATTCGCTTGTCCTTTGGTATTTCTACGTGTGTCAATGTCAAAGTCAAGAGTGACAAGTGACAACTACTGCAATGTTTCCTTTGTTGGTGGCATCATCATCTCATCGCAACCCTTCTCGGTATTTCTCGTCCTCTTTTTCCCCATCGTCGTCATAATCCATCATCACTCCCTCCTTCTCCACGTCCACCGAAAAACGCTGTCTTTCTCAAAATTACTTTTTTCAAAAAAATGAACCCCTCATGTCAGTCCATGCCGCATAGTAGACATGAGATACGATTTTGCTTTTATGTGAAGAAAACAAGTTACAAAATGTTAATAAATCTGTAAAGTTTCAAATGCAAGGAAAATGCTGTATTAACCTCATCGTATTTCATGCATAATTCAATTTCAGACCCTCAAATCAACCAGTACGGCGAGGTGAATCAGTTGGGAGGCGTATTCGTCAATGGCCGGTGAGTTGCGTCATCGTTAAGAATTAAAAAAATTGTGACGTTCCAGGTTGGAATTTCCTCCTAGAATTACCTGATTTTTTTTACGAAATTTCAGCCCCCTCCCAAACCCGGTCAGACTTCGGATCATCGAGCTGGCCCAACTGGGCATCAGACCATGTGACATCTCCCGACAACTCCGAGTTTCTCACGGATGCGTCTCCAAAATCCTGGCCCGTTACCACGAAACAGGGTCCATATTACCGGGAGCCATTGGCGGATCCAAGCCACGGGTCACAACTCCCAAGGTAAACAGAAACGTCTAACCCGACTACCTGCATATACATATTCCACACTAAATGCTATATACAACCACCTCCTCCATTAATTGCCAACTGGTGCTCGCATTGGAAATTAAGTAGTTTGGTTGAGTGGTATGGAATTTGGGCCTTGTTGTGGATAATGGGATCGAGTTGGTAGATCGGAGAACACCGTGAGCAATGCTGCGGCACGTTCTTGCCTCTGTCGGAAAATGCTGAACAAAAGCCATGATTTCGATTAACCTGTTAATAATCCTAGCACCTGAAAGTCGTCAATAATTTGGTTAAATTGGTGCTTATTATTATGGTGTCGTATAAAGGAACGAAAGTCAAAGTCGGTCCTTTTTGAGTACGTTCTCTCTTCATTGTTGTGCGGACTGGAATCTCGAGGAATAATAAAAATTTAATTATTACATTACGAACGACTGGGAGATGAATAAATGCATACAAAATCAGTCATGCTCTTTGATACTCAATTTTATTTTATCCATGTTGTGCGTCAAGGTTGTTGGCTACATCAAAGAGCTGAAGCAAAAGGACCCCGGAATCTTCGCGTGGGAAATACGCGACCGACTTTTGGTAAGACACACGCTTCTGGTCAATTTCGTTGAAAACGGGACTATTTTTCCTGTGCTTTGATGAAATCACTATTGAATTGATAATCGGCACTTGTTATGTTTCCGCCAACAGTCTGATGGCGTTTGCGACAAGTACAACGTTCCCTCCGTGTCCTCGATTTCACGGATTCTCCGCAACAAGATCGGCGGTCTGCTGCCCTTGCACCACCATCACCACCACCACCAACACCCCAACAACAGCCTGTCCCCCTCCTCCACTCAACACTCACCCCAAAATCCATACGATGCTCACAAGGCCCATCAAAACAATGTCCACGCCGCGGCCGTGGCTGCAGCGGCTGTGGCAGCCGTAGCGGCGAATTCGGCGATGAACCACCCCCTTTACAATTCAATCTACCCGCCGTACTCTTCCTACGCCCCGCATCACCACACCCACAATTCGGCTGCGACGCAGGTTGGTGACGATGCATTTCATTCGTATTATGACTTCCATTTTGAGCTGTCGTCATGATATTAACTTGCTAATAATTGTTAACTATAAACAATGCGTAGTCTGGAGGTGGGATGATGTCCGTCCCCAATGGAACTACGTCATCCCCGATGGCATCCATGGTCTCGATGGCGTCCAAGATTGGTTGTTCCGGTTCATTGCCACCACTTCCGTCCAGCCCCACGTCTTGTTTGCACGTGATGCGGCAAAATGGATGGGGTCCTCCTCCTGGGGCTGCGGAAATGGGATTTCGTCACGTCAACGGATCCACTGCGCCACATCATCATCCCCATCACCAGGTTAGTTGGTCTCATAAAAGAAGTGGAAATGAACATGCAGACGTGCATTATGTAGATTCTTGTCATGAGACGAGGTTGGATTGGATGCAGTGCAGCGTGACGTGTAGTGGCAGTCATGTTTTGCTTTCATGAGGTCAGAGGCCACACTCCCGAGGAGAAACAGCAGTCCTCTTTCCCACTAATTGCACACAAATCAACGAAATTAGTTCCTTCTTCTTCAATCTTGTGTATTTGGGTTTAATGCCAGTGGACATATTCCTCATTGGAATGGATGAACTGTCGGTTATGCACACATCATGATCGTGAAATGCAAGCCACCATTCCATTTCTCATCGTTGCTATCTAATACACTTTCATGTGCCATTAAATCAATCAATATCCAGTTCACCCAGTCCAAGGAAACGAATAACTGTCGCACATCTTGGCATATCCACTCTCTCGTGAACCCACAGATATATTCCTGTGTGTGGCTCCTCCCTCGTCGTCCCAAAGACATTCTGCATTTTTTGAGGAAGTGGATGATGGGCAATAAAAGCCACTGAAATGCTCGTTATCCCCTCCGAATTGATTTCATGTGTTCCTTATTGGCGTGGTCTCATGTCTCTCTTGTACCTCTGACACAGATGACGATTGGTGGGGCGGAGGCAGCAGCAGCAGCGCAGCAGAACTACAACTACTACATGTACCTCCAGAGCTGCAACGCGGCCGCAGCTCAGCAGCAAACGTCCCCCTCCATCGCCCCCTGCCTCTCACCCCCACTTTTGGGGTCCGGCCACCACGCCCATCTCCACACCCAACACGGCAACCCCACCGCCGCCGTTTCCTCTTCCTAAAATCCATCCTCAACCTGTCTCAAGTTCCCTCCTCGTCTGGACACCCACAATTTCCCAAGGATGCCATCAATCTCTTCTTCTCTAAATTCTTACGATATCGTGTATCATGTATCTTATCGTCAGTGCAACATGCAACGGCAAGGAAGATGGCGATATACACGAAAAGAGGTGCCGTCGTGCAGTACGACACTAGGCATCCGTACGGAGAGGAGAAGGCTGTGATACAGGAATATAAATGGGAACATGATCCCACATTTTCTATTATCGCGAAAAACAACTCCTCCTCCCCCCAAAGAAAACTAACCAACCCGGTTCATACACTTGTATTTCTTACTTAGGCACATACATTTGAATATATTGGGCGAGCTTATCATATTATTATTTTTACTTTATACATATTTGCCAATGTGAGGTTGCCAAATAGTTGGAACTTGCAAAACTAATGTATTTAATGCCAAATGTGCGCATCCAAACGGAACCAATGTTTGTTGTAAAGTCGTGTGTGAAATCATGGATGAGAGAGGAAAAGGATAATCTCATCATCATCTCAACTCCTGCCTGCCCGACTAGTAAATACTTGTATATGTAGAACTATAGCGCAGCTAATTAAGGCCTGTAAAATTAAAACAAGTCGTCGTTCACTACTTTTCTCACGGGACAGACTGCAATAATCAATCCGAAGAAATCTCGACCTCCCAGCAAATGTAAATGGAAGGGTTGCATGAATGTCTGGCTCGAAGCAGACTTTCCTAGACTGATTTTCTCCAAGTATTTTGGGTTGTGTCAAACCATGAAATGCCAACTATCTATATGATAATAAAGAATATGTACATGTGCCTTTATTGTTAACACCACGATACCAGTTTAAGAAGAATTGTGTCCCTGTGGACAGGAAGACCTTAAATAATTGCAAGGGCAACCATATTTCGAGTGCGGTGAAAAGTGACGGGAGCGATGCATGTACATAAAGAAAGGACAAAGGAAAGTGCTTCTGCACGTGTTGGCAGTACTTTTGCTCTTACTTTTACCGATAGTGCATGACCAAAACCTACTGCATTTCTCGGTCTCTTGACCTCCCTCCTCATAGTTTTGGCATGGAAAATGTCAGCTTTTTCGTCAATTTGAAAACCACACCCATCTGCCTGTTACCACGATTGCTCGACTTTTAGTATGATTAGTGGAAGGTACTCGACACAAAGGGAGATGAGTTACCTGGATACTTAAAGTCAGGCAATCGTGATTTTTTGCATTTTACGGACATGGTCAAAAACTAAAGAAAGATTACATAAAAATACATCTTACGACACAGATAAGTATGCATTTGTACACTAAATAATTCTCACATCACGGAAAACTTTCCTCTTGCGATGCCTTTACAACAGGTGAGACGCTTAGAATATGCCGGACCTTATGTTCCAAAGTACAAGCCCCTCCCATCCACCGTCAAACTTTTATATGGCACGGCCCCCGTCGTGGGAAAACTCTCAGACGACGCTGAGGAAGCCGTGGTCAACTATGGGCGACTCCTCGAGGCCAAAAACAAGCACATCCGGAAGAGGACTTTCAATCAAAATTTTTTCAACGTAATAAACCATAAACCATGCCACACACTGTGTAGTGAGTTAACCCGCCATAATCGTGTGATTAGGACTTTCGGGCCCTACTCACACCACGTCAACGGGACCAAATCCGTGAATTTCGAAAGCTAAATTTCGGCCAGATCACCGTTCACCTCCGGCGCCTGAAGGAGGCGAGTTCCACGCCGGCCGAGAAGAAGAAGAGGAAAGAGACCAATGACCAGCTAAAACAGCGACACGGCGTTTGCAAGAAGAACGGGAAGGTGGTGGAGGAACTTGGCGTGTGGATGGTGGAACCCTCCGGAATTTTCATTGGTCGTCCCGATAACCCAAGACATGGGCGAATCAAGCTTCGCATCCGTCCTAGCGACGTGGTCGTGAACTGCAGTGGAGCCTGTCCACCTCCTCCTTGGGGAAATTGGAAGGCACAGATATTCGACCCGTCTCAAGCCTGGGTGGCAAAGTACACTAACAACTTAGTAATAACCAGCTACGAATAGTTATCAATCAGATATGCGTCTCAGAATAATAATTTGAAACGTAATTCTTGTAGAAAGCCATTAAATACATTTTCCCAGGAATCGACTCCAGTGTTAGGAAACACAGCGACGTGGCCAAGTTTGAGGTGGCACAATCGCTGGGTCGTAGGATTGCAGGGGTTCGTAAAACCTATGAAAAATTGATCGCCATGAGACTGATCGACAACTTGGGCTCGCCATCTACTTCATTGACAGAGTTTGTAGTGATACTATTTTGCATACACTTTCTCTAGTCTTTGTAAATATGTGTGCGGATTAGTTTTCACTCAGAATTGGGAACGAGAAAGGGCCCGACGCCGCAGACACGGTTGGGTGCACGACTCTCCGAAAAGAGCACATTTCCCTGAAATCAAGGCACAAGGTCTGTCTTGATTTCAAAGGGAAGGACTCGATCAGGCTGAAAAAAGAGTTTGAAATCTCTCTCCCTGTATTCAACGCCATTTCCAGAAATATTAGACGCAAACGGGAACGAGATCAAGTTTTCGATTTAATTCAGGTACTTAATTAAATACAAAGCAACACAATTTCCCTCCGTCAGTGCATGCATTTATGCACAACCATCATTTTCTTCTCCTGCATTCAGGCACAAACCGTGAACAAATACCTGAAAGATCTTGGGGACAATTACTCTGCAAAAGTTTTTCGAACTTTCAATGCATCCAAAACTTTTGACGACAAACTCCACATGCAAAAAATGAGAACACCTAAAAAGAAACTCACAATAGCGGACAAGTTATTTATTTACAAAAAGGCAAATCTTGCCATTGCAAAATTGTGTAATCATCAGAAAACGGTCAATACGAAGCTAGCAATGCGTGCTTTGGGTGGACAAAAGTTGAACCGACAGAAGAAGCAGGACAAGCTGAGGATCTTGAAGGAAAAGCTGTAATCCTTGCTTTACCCTTTACACAAATAAACTCCTTCTTATTGACCTTGTCGATTTCAATTGTTTCGTCAGGAAAGGGAAAGTGGGCATCCAGAAATTGCTTTGTCAACGGCAAATCAGCAAGCTCGAGGAGAACATTAAAGAGTTAGAGACCCGAATTTACCTGAAGGACGAGGGGATGGAGTATGCTCTTGGAACTTCGCAAGCCAACTATTTGGACCCTCGAATCACTGTGGCTTGGTACACATTTTACTTGTTTTGTCAGAGTAAATATTTACAACTGCTTGTAAGAAATTCAACAAAAGTCGAAATTTCAGGTGCAAGAGAAACAAAGTTCCTCTGGAGAAAGTTTGGTCGGCAAATCAGAGGAAAAAGTACGTCTGGGCAAATAAGGCAACCTCACAGTTTAGGTTTTAAAACTCAATTGGTCTACAGTAAAATGACTGCAAATTCTTGTACATATATGTAAATCAGATATCTAATAAAATGATATAGGACTAAATAAAAATTAATTATGACGCACAGTTCGTAGGTATAAATTTTCTGTCACTACGATGACTTTTTATTAAAAAATTCAAATTTTCTATCACATGGGTTAACAAACATCACAATCAGATCAATAATTAAAATGAGATTTCTTTGTTGCTGCGAGGTTTTACAATGTCAAAGCAAGCTAAAAAATATGCGTAGTTGATAAAATGTTTTCTTGAGAATTGTTAAATTTTGCATCGTAAATCCATGCACTAAACCTAATTAAAGCTCTTAATTAAACAAGAATAATATCATTTTAAAAGCGGGATCATATTTGTTTGGGATAATTATTTCAAAACGTGACCACATTGATAAGTAGTGTTCCACTTGTTGAAGTATTTGTGTAGAGATTGAGTACATTTTGATTTTGTCCGAGTAAACAGATTGACGTACACACGAGTTTACTCGCTTAGCTTATATATAATTAAGTGAACTTTTGTTTTGTCTCATGACTTGATTAGTCGACGACGGCAGAGGTGGCCATTTCAGCCAAACCGCACGTATTTTCTCCTCGGTAGACCCGGTAGTAACCCTGAAATACATATTGACAAAAATTATTCAACAAGTTGCAAAAAGTGCATGCTGAATAAGTATTTATTGCTTGAACGAGATGGACGTCATGTGATTTGTTCTTAAAGTTATGTAGATATGGCCCCGAACTAGAAATTATCACCATATACAAATGTACCTGCTCTCCCCATTCTTCCCCCCAACTGTTTTTGACACTCCAATATGGGAGGGTGGCATTCAAATAGGGGTACGCTGTAACGAAAAGCAAATACAGAATGATTAGAGACAACTGACCTTCTCTCCCCATGAAGGTCCCCAACTATTTTTCACAATCCAATATGGCATCACTTTGTGTCTTATGGATGTGGCTGATAAGGAGGCAAACACATGGACATTTGTTTCATTAGTAACAGCGAAAGCAAGTAGTAATAAACACGAAAATCAATATTCGCACTCGAGAAAATCAGACACCACTTACTATGAACTCCAAAACCAACGATGAGAACACCATGGTCCAAGCTCTTCTTGCCGCAAAGGAACTTCCAAGGATGGGATACTCCGCCCATGTAAAACTATACACGAAGTTTCAGAAGTGAGGATCAGCAATTATATTTATTATTTTATATGGCAAAATCTGACCTGCATCGCGTTCGCATTGATTCCAATTGAGATTGGTCCATTCTTAACCAGCCACATGGCCATCTCGGTTTCGTTTTTGGGCAGCTCAACAAAACCTTTCACCTTTGCTGCGGCCTTGCTAGCATCAAACGAACACTTTTCGCCTTTTCCGTCGTACGGGTAGGCAGACTCAGTTTCTAGACCACCCAACTTTTCTAAAGCCTTATATGCATTTTCAGGCAGGCCACCATTGCAACCTTCGTCCAGAGTGTCACAATCCACGAGTTCTATGACACACGTACATATATTTAAAGTCTATTAGTTATTTGCACATCTTATGCATACATACATACATACATTGTGCATTTGTTATTTATTATGAAACAACTCACCCTGTTCGGAGAAAGACATCAGTTTGTTGTATTTCTTGGCGTAAAGGCCTTCAATATTTCCCGTGACGGAAAAGGCCCAACATGATCCACACATTCCTTGGTTCTTTACAGGAGTTACGGCATTGTAATTCCTCCAGTCAAACTCGTCTGGCAGCGATGACAAATATGGAACCTTTGCCGTCTTAACTTTCTTGGTTCCTTGACGCAAATCTGGTCTCAGTCCGAGATAGTGTTTAGAAAACTCTTCCTCTGTAGAGCAACTCAATTAGTACAATTCATACACTTGATTTTTGCATGCCTTAAAAATGGAAATAATAACTTACCTGTCAAATCTGCAAACGCAGTGGAACCATACACGGCTGTCCCCTGCTCATTATCTTGAAGCAGTTTTGCCTTTTTCATATTCTCCATGTAGACTCCAAGTCGGTAGGTGTACTCTTCCCTGGACTCGTACTTTTTCCCATGCATGTCCATAAAACTTTGAAACTCTTTTTGGTTGACACCTTCGTCCTTTTCCAATTTGATATGGAACAAACTCAAACTCTAAAATAATAATGATAATTTTTAACAACCGAAACCTGCTAAGAAAATTTAAATAAATAAAACGCGTAGATGTATGTACATTATACAGTATAATTTATACTCACCCTTTTCGTCCTGTCCAGAAACATTGATTCTCTCGGGCCACATTTGGAGTGAGTAATTTGCTTGCTTTTGAGCCAAGGTTGTTCCAATACGGTGACGTTGCAAAATTGATGCTCTCTGGTATTATCGATTTCACACTGGGATTTATCCAAAGTAGGATTCTTACGACAACCGGTGTATCCTAATTCTACGACAAGCTTTGTCTTCATTCCGGCAACAATTTGCCTTTGGGCGGCTACAATTTTAACCAATTTTTGAGCATGCATAGCATTGCTTTGTTGGTCAATCGATTCCACAATGAAATTCACGAGTTCTACAAGTTCTGAACTTTTCACATCCACCTCGTGAAATCCACCCAGAGCTCGGTGTAGTTTTCTACAAAAATGTATGTAAGGGTTTGAAATAACATAATTCAGCCTAAATTGAAGCAAATTCTGTTTGCTACTCACTGTTTCTTGTTGACTTCATTTTCCTTGTATAAATCCAACTGTTTTGCAATTTTCTTCCCCTGTTTCTTCTTGTAGTACGCTTTCTCTGGAAGACATTGGCTTTCGGTCATTTTACGTTGAACTTCTTGCCATGGCTGGAATAATATCTTGACACTGCACACGCGGAACGGGGGTACAATCTTGTCCTTGCATTTCGCCAGTGTCACTTCCTCACCCTCTTTGCAAGTTGTGTGGGCTACGCGGATCTTCAAGGTGTACATCCACCCAGACACGGTCTATTTTTATGCACAACCATGATTCAAAAATTTAAGTTGACCGTTGGAAATTAATCTACGTAGGTATGTACGTACCTGCTTCTTCGAGTCCAAAACTTCCATAACCAATCTCGCATCATCATCCGCATCGATAGTGTCCAACTGCTGGACAGCAAACTTGGCCAGGTCCATCAATTTTTCCGTACTTTCCTCAGCGTCCCTTGACCCACCAAGGATTGGCACTGGCGGCGACGGTGGAGAAGGAGAAGAAACAACATCTCGCTTGCGTCTCAAACTCTTTGGCTGCTTTTGTGCAGTAGGGAGCGTGGTATCACCATCGCCCACTATGTCACCGTCTTGCTCCAAGTCGTCATAATCGTCTTGTTCATCATCATCACCATCCTCTCGCCTCGACACTTTTTCTCTCTTGCAGTTGGATCTCACTACTTCCTTATTGTTGATCCATGACTGTTCAACAACTTCAAAAAAGAACATGTAAAATCATAAGTAAATACAACTATATTTTTATTGCATTAGTGGAACAAACCTAACCTTCAAAGTTGCAAATAAATGTGTCTTCAGAAGGATCCATAGCACATTGTTCCTTGTCCAGATCGTGTTGGGCCTTTGTACAATTTGTGAGTCCGACCTGTTAGAAATATTTTTGTATTACAAGCGTATTATTGGCTATAGTTCAATTTAGTCAATTAAGTAGTTAATAATGTATACCTCTAAATCCAGAATATACTTTTGTCCAGCGACCACTTGTGTCATGGCATTCACGACGCGAACCATCCGCTGTGCCCGTTCCAAATCGTCAAACCCACTCAAATGCGTTGAAAAGGCGAAGCCAGCCATTTCTTTGATTTTGTCATCATCAACATCCACTTCCATCGGGCATCCGACGCAGAATGGATTCTTGCTCGTCGTGACTTCTTCCTCCACCTCTTCTGCAACTTCCGGTTGGACAGGAAGTGACCCTGCAGGAGGAGAGGGTGCATCTTTGGCTGCCTCCTTGTCGTCCTCGAAATAGTCGGAACTCAGGACTTGGTCGATGAGGTCAGCGTCGAATTTCTGAGTGGGAGAGGACGGTGCGTCCAACAAATCCTGCTCACCCAAAGCATTCCCCTCCAGGACGAAGGTCCAGGTCCCAGCCAACAGGGTCAAAATGAGAAACGAGCCCCACCATTGGGACCGGGGCGTCATTTCTTTCTACTCGATTACCAGAAAATAAACTATATGATAATTATTGGTAATAATGTTCAATTAAATCAGATCAGAGAATGAGATTTGCAGCGATGCTAATGCGTATTGTTTGCAAATCTCAGCAGTATTTTCAGTGTCAGACAGATGAGAGCAGATGATGCTGAGATTAGGAAGGGGGCATGCAGGGCTGGTGTGGGGCGCGAGGGGGAGGGCGCAGTTGGGTATTTCTGGGGCGCAGTGTCGCCGTTGTGCGTGGAGGGCCCGCGCGGGCGGATTGGTGCGACGGACGTGGAGTGGGCTGGGCTCACACAGTTTGAACTTTTGGCTCCAGAAACCAACGGACAACAAACAGACTCGACCAAAAACCAACCACCAAAATTCTTCCTCTTCCATTTAGCTTATCGTCAGCTTTCTCCCTTTGAAGGCAAAGTAAGAAGAAATGTTAACAGTGCATTAATTACTAATTATAAAATTAATTAGTTTGAGAGGAATGCAAGAGTAAAGAGAAGCCAACTTCAAGTCAAGTTTCGTTTTCGGCTAAACGTGAGTAAAAAAAGTTCATTGTAGATTTATTTTATCACCATGAATTTATTTTTAGTAATTTGTGCAGAATGAAATTTTGCGTGATTGAAATTGTCATTCTCTGTATTTTTTACATGATCGATGAAGCGATATTTTTATTCTCCCTAATTACAATTTTGTACAATGTGGTCATTTTTAGCACAATCCCGACGACGAGTTTGGTCGACGCCGAATCTTCATAATCAACTACACGCCAGCCCACGGCGCAAAATGGCATCCGAGTCCCCAGCAATCACAGTACCATTGGCAGCGGCAACGAGACCTTCCAATCTACTTTTGACGCCAGACCCACTCCAATCCCCTAGTTCGCCAAGCCCAACCGAATCCCTTGAACAGCGCCACATCTCCGACCTATTTCGAGAACATGGGTTACGACTTACTCCCGTTCTTCGTCAAGCGGTGTCTGAAGAACTGTCAAAGTTGGGAGTGGAATATGAATGTGTGCCAAGTAGTAGTAAAGGTAACAAGGCTAGAAAGTCGCCACGACCCACTCATCGTCGAGGGAGTGACAGCATAACTGCAAATGGACTTCAGGTACATCAACATGACATATTTTTTGATGCGTATGAAATGGGGTTGTAATTTTTGAGGGTGATTTACTTATTGTTGCTATTGATTTTCACAGAGAACAATTGAAGTAAAGCTTCCCTCCTCCAACACCACCGTGACCATTCCATTCATTGTGAAGCATACGTGCGACTACATCCGACAACATATCAAACAACAGGGAATTTTCCGAATTTCTGGTGTTGCATCGAGAGCAAACAGTATCATGGTAAGCGTATCATCATTTTAATAACAATTTTTTCCCATTACTGCGTCATTAATTGCGTCATAATTTTGCAGCAAAGATTCACAAATCCTGAGATTGAGGAATATTTTACTTCTTGCGATACCGTTCACGATGTCGCCGTAGTGTTGAAGCAGTATCTGCGACAGTTGGAGACGCCTTTGATACCGTACAGTATTCAGCATGTGTTCATTCAGTGAGTCGAACTCAAAGTTATACCCCAAATTCGTAGTATTAATTAATTATTAATTTCGAAACTTAATCTTCACGACTCTAATTTTGCAGATGTTTAGAGTTGCAGCCGGAAAGTGCTCGAACGTCGGCTCTTCTTCTTTCGAGTTGTCTCGTTCCGCAGGAAACTATGGGCTGTCTGACTTATATTCTCCAATTTCTTGCCGAAGTAGCAGAATCTAGTGGAGAGAATTTAATGACATTTGAGAATCTTGGCATTATCATGGGTATTGAATAATGGAAATTTATGTAGTATGAAGAGATGATTAATTAACGCCATGCAATGTGTGTTGAGAGAATTTAATCCATGAATACCGTTGAGTTCAACTACATGGATATTTATTTACTTACGACTGATAGGTCTCAATATTATGCCCATCGCCCAAGATCCAAGATCGGTGAAAAGTGACAATAATAAGAATAGTGGGAAAGACGTTCACAAGACTGAGCGACACGTTTTGGATTTGCACAACAAAGTCATCGAGGTAGGTGAACATTGTGAATCGTATCATACGATTCATACAATTTATCCCTTGATGATTAATTACAATAATTACATTAATACCTTTCTATCTACTCCAGAACCTAATCAAACATGCAGATAGAGTTGGTCGAATAACAGAAGAGGTGGAACGAAGAATGGATTCTTTGCTAAGTATTCGAAGCTCTGAAGATGAACTAGAGAATGAGGGGGTTGGCCGTCGGAAGAAACGGCGGAGTGGATCCCTCAATAGTAAGTCAAATCGTAAGCACTGCATAATTATTCAACTTGCATGTGCATGTGTCTCCGTTCTCCCTCTTGTTCACACTCTAATATGATTTTTATTGCGTTTACAGGGATGTTGGGATTTCTGAAAAAGGTGACGAGTGGAAAGAGTGGAACGGAGACGCCGATAACACCCATGCCTCACACCCCTCGAGGTGATTCCTTCTCCTACACTCCAGTCATTAAAGCAAGTGCTAGGAAAAATGAAGATGGAGTTTTCTCTCTGCAAAAAAAGTGAGCAAACATCAACTATAAATTTAATTTAAAAAAGTATTTGAACTTGATAGTTAATTGTCAGATTGATATTATATTTGCTGTTTTGAATGATGAATGACTATTTTGTATCTGTTTATTGACTCCTTTTCCCACGCACGTACTTATTATTTATGTTATTTTCTTCTCGAATCAAACAAAGGAAAAATATCTTTGACGGAACAGCTCGAAAAAGTAAAAACAATGAATTGTTCGGCACACCAAACACGCTGCCTAGCCAAATCACTTGTCCGTCACCGGCAGTTTGTTTAGACCCGAGGTAAAACTGATGAATTTCTTTGGGGGTAATGGTTGGTTATCATGGAGGGAGGCGGGGTGGTGCTTGGATTTATTTGGGAAAGTAAATGTACTAAAACTATTACTTGCATGTTCTATTTCAATACTGCCCAGCTTGTATCGCAATTTTAGTCGTAGGTAGGTTGGTACTTTGTAGCTAGTTATGTAATTTAGTTGATATATATTAGCTTGAAAAATAACGTATAACTAACACTTTGCAATATTGCCATGTTCTTGGTTGTGGTGGTAGATTGATAAGTGACTTAAGGAATTCTGAGAAATTTCGTATTCGTTCCTTGCAGCCCAATGAAGATGGATTGGAAAACGACTCCAAATGGAAACAGGCTTAGGAACTTTGTGACTCCTGGGATATTGAGGAGAAGGTACAAGAAAAATTATTCGGAATTTCGAATGAAATTGGAATACTTTTAATTCAACTTTGATTCACTATATTTGAAGGGATAAGAGCTCAGATAACACGGATAAAAATATCTTCTCGGCTCCCACCACCATGAAGTCATCCAAGCCTAGGATTCGTTTCGGGCGGAGTAAACATACCAAAAAACAAGAGACTCCTAAGCAAGATCTAAGCCTTTTAAAATCCAAACAAACTTCAGCTTCTACCATATCAATTCACAAACTGGCAGCCTCCCCTCGAGCTGCCACACTTCAGAAAAATGTATCCTTGTCTAAAATCCCACGTCCTGGTGGAGGTGAAAAGCCGGCAATTCCGCCGAAACGTGTCAATTTGTTATCATCAAGTAACATTACGCAACTAAAAAAGCAGGGTTCAAAGGGTTCACTCAATCTCGGAAAAAAGGATGAAGGAGACTACGTGATAATTTCACCTAAAGCAGAAATTGACGATGCTGATATTAGAAATGAGGCATTTCTTGCCTCATCTTCTGCGATTTCAGTCGCCACCAACAACGATTCATCCAGCCAGGCAATGACCGGAAACAATGTCACGGTCGAAACTGATATCGATACAACTGCCACCACGACCGAACTTACAAAGGAAAGTGACGACCCAATAAGTCACGATTCTTCTTCATCCACACTTCAACCACCTCCGATGGACATGATGGGAAAACTTAAACTAACTCCACTCATTCAAGAAATTGACCAGTTGACTCGAACGGCTGGGGACCTTACGCTTTCTACCCTGAAGGGTAGAAAATCAGCCTCGAGTATTCGACGTACTCGATCACGTGGTCACACGTTACCCGAATCACCCACTGAACTGGAAACCACTCCACTTGCTGCAGATCAAGTCGAATCAAAGTTTATCAAGACGCTGAAAGAGTCAAAAATTATTCAGATTCAAGCAGAGAAAATAAACCAAACTGGAATGCAGTTGCAACGGCGACTCACAATTCAAGAACGTGGTTTAAACAAGGTAATCGAAGGATTAGTTGCTATTTGAGAAGATATCTATTTCCGTTTGTCTGATATTCATCTTTCTGTCTGTTTTAGGTGAACATGTCCCCATCCCAGCGAAGGATTGCAGCGAGTGCAAAGAGAAGACGGTCCCATGAAATCGGGCGTGTTACACCAATTATTACTCCAACAAGGTTTTTATCACTTCGCAGCCCAAATGCCTCGCCTGCTGCTGCTAGTACTACTACTTCTACGCTACGACGATCCCCCAACCGTTGCACCTTGAAACGAGGGCGGCCCAATACGGCACGCGTTGGATTGGCCAGACCAAGCCCAACTCGAAACACGCCACGGTCCGTTCTAACACCACCCATCACGCGATCACCCAAGAAAAAAGTTATACCTTCAGCAGATAATAACAATCCTATGAAAATGGAGGACAATGGGGAAGGTTCCCCCACATCAACTTCGCCACCACCGCTCCCTCCTCGCAAAGACTCCACCACTGCTCATAATTCTGACACTCCCATGAGACGAATGTCGTCCGTCCAGGAACTAGTGAACAAGTTGGAAAAAAATCGGAAGAGTAAGTTGGCCGTTGTACCGCCAACGGCAGGAACGTCAGAAAACGTAGAATCAGACCTCCTTGAAAATGTTGAACTTGTTCTGCCCTCCCATCAACAAATACAGCCAGAAACAGACGTGATAAGTTCACCAATTCATTGCTCCACTACCCCACAAATCGTCGTGACACGTAGCAAGGCTCGAGATGAGTTACGATCGGCTCAAGAAACACCACAGACTCCGTTCCTATTTTCTCTCGCCCCCTCCATGGAAAACGACGTGGATCCGGAAATGAATTGGGTGTCTGGTCACAAGTTTAAATTCGACAGGAAGGATTTTCACAACCTAAAAAAATCTTCCGATCGTGATTCTATCCATTTCTTAAAAACTCTTCGTGCGGGAAAGGTTCCGGCAACGGTGGAATATTTCAATCAAATTGGGCATAACAAATCTCCCACAAAATCATTAATTCCTCGCTACACGGGGCTCCAAACTCAAGGGACAGCAAAATATCTTGCTGGTGAAACCCACCTTATCACCACTCCTGAAATGAAGAGTAGCAATGAAGACACTCCACCAGTTACAACTCCCAGTCGTATTGCTCGTCGAATGTCGTCCGTTGACATTGATATCCGCAATCGCAATAGAAAAGAAGAACTCTTGGATCAAATCAAGAAGGAAAATGCAGCAGTAAGGCGATCCAACACAACGACCGGCACAGGTGCTCGAGGAGGTAGAAATCTTCGCCCAATCGAACGAGGTATAACAACTAACGACACTACTGCTGCCGCCGTTCCACGAACTTCAAGTTTCAAACGTCCTAATACCCTCGATTTAAAGTCACCCCTCACAGCAACTTGTACTGCTGCTGCCACGTCGTCCACTACTGTGATTAAACCAATTTCCCGTGCTGCAAGCCTTCGTCGGCCTCAAACTCAAACTCCACGAATCGTCGAGGAAGACGAAAGCTTGATCATCTCTGTGAATCTGGCCATCGAAAACTTACTCCATCCCAGAAATGAGAACTGTGATAGTGTTAAAAAGTCTGGAAGAGGTGGAAATCAAGGATCCGCATCGAAACCATCCCCATTAAAGAGTAGCAACCTTGCCAATTCTACCACCCTATCGAGAAATAACTCTAGCAATAGGAAAAACTCACCTTCTCTCAAAACATCGCCCCCTCTGAGAGGCATCAACTCTCGTCGACGTAATGTGACCATCACTCGCACAGCTTCAGAAACTGGGACAAAGTCCACCACAACTACACCCAGATCCACCCCGAAAATTAAGAAGGCACTCACAACTCGAGCTTATGACATGATGATGATGTCTGGTGGCGCAGTAAGCAGCCCTGCCATCCCGATGAGACGGTCTACGCGAACCCCCAATTCTGCTTCTACTAATATTAATACTGCTACTAAAGGTACTTCTAATGGGAATTCTACTGACTTTCACTCGCATGCTCATGCTTGCAACACCATCACGCCACGAAGGAGGGTTCCACGAATGGGGAATGGTGCCGTTGCCTCCTCCTCTACACCTCACCAACTACCCATCAACAACTTTGATGGAAATGTTGCCAATAGCTCAACAAAGTCCAAGCTTCGTACTCCTCTCAGGGCGACCCACTTGTATACTACTCCTTCTCACTAACTATGTATAACTCACTTATCAGGAGTACGGAAGACTTTTGTTAATTGATTTTGCACTTGAAAGTGAACTGCACTTTATTTTACAGTTTTGGTACAACAATTTTTCCTTTTTACTACTACAACAGTCTCCCCACTAGGGATATGATACTTTCTTATTATTATTACAGAGAGGCATATATAATGATTTCCAATATCTTTATCCGAATAGAAATAATTCTGATGCATACAAATACTTATAATGTAGAAAACCCAACTGTGAATATATTTAAATACGATTTAAATAATAAAAAAGGAACAATATTGGTTCAACAGTTTTAACGGAATGGGTTTGAGTCGGTAATCGTCATTATCATTATAAATGAGGTTCTACAGTTGTCTCCATAATTAGAATAATATATCTTGATTAGTTGCTCCTTGGTTGTCTTTGTCCTCATCCTAACATATAAATATATGCCGAATACTTTACTCTAGTGAATTTAACATGAGAAGTTGCTTCAGAACTTTGGTTTGGCTAGTTTCCCTGATTTCACCGGCCAAAAACATTTCATCCACCACCGTGTAGACCTATCCAGATGACCAAGAGAAAGACACATTTAATTGACGACATGAGGATTAGCTAGCAGAGATTATAAATTATAATGCACACCTTGTAAAAGTTGAAAACTAAATCAAGTTCGCAAACGTTGTGGAAATATTCGTTGAGAACTTCGACAAAGTTGTGGATAGCTTCCAAATAGTTGAGATTATTGTCTTGAACATCCACACAAATGCAAAAGTATAGTCCGGCATATCGTCTGTACACAATCTTGTAGTTTCTAAACTGAAATAAGCAGCGAAGGATACATTATATTTTTACACTTTTTACATTCAGTAGAAACGTTACAATTAAAAACTAATTGAAGTGCACCTCAACAAAGTTGGTATGTTTTGCATCCCTCACAGTGACGACGGCGTGAACTTCTTCGATAAGCTTTTGCTTCTCAGCATCGTCAAAATTCATGTACCACTTGGCAAGACGAGTCTTTCCTGCCCGATTTTGAATCAGGATAAAGCGGATCTATGTGTCAAATTATTTGCTTTATAACTTTACATCACAAATGTATAATATGCTTGAATATTATTTAATCACTACTCTAATTTTATTCAACTTACCATTTTGACAGTTTGAAACTGAACTTTTTAAAACAGAGCTGGAGATTCGTCACCTATGAAAGTACGAATATCGAGCCTATGTATATGTGAGCATGGGGCGTATTCTACTGAATCAAGTTACCCGATCTTTGCTCAGTCAGCTATCCCACCAACTATGGCACCAACAAGCACATTATCTAAAAAGGGTGTCTGAGCTGAGCACTTCATCCCCCCACAGTTCATTTACTTCGTTCATCCCCACCACTCATTTGATAAATGCAAATAAGTTGAATGAATGGCAGCTCCGTCTTGTTTCTTACATGGATTAAATAAATGAGAAGAAAGCATTGGATGAATAAATTCATATAAATCGTAAGAATTCATTCATTATTGTTCCAAACAGAATAGATAGATCGCCTAAAAATTCAACAATAAAGTTCAGCAGTATTAAGTATGTTGACCTATTTATCATCACAGGGTCTCACCGTGAGACTGGACTGGACCGTCTGGAAACGGAGTCTCACTTTATGGTCATCTCAGATTGGCCCATGCATGGGTTAGTCTTGTTTCTCTCCACTCGCTGCTGATGAGGATGAGCGAAAGCCATACCATTTCTCCTCAGCCAGCCATTCCTCGTCTCCTATTCCCACCCATTCCTTTCTTCCTTCCTCCCTTCCCTTCAGCAGCCACCCTAAATAATTCACCCATTATTACGCCAATAATTAATTACCCACATTTAATTACGCCTCCTCTCCTTAGTTAACCCAGGAGCTAAAGAACATCTTCGAGTCGGACGGGACGATAGCCAAGGTCGCGAACTCAAAAATCACAAGTCATAAAAAAGGTGAGTTTAATGGTCTCGGCATTTTTGAAAACATCCGTTAACATGAATATGAATGTTAACTCGACATTCATTTCTTTAGTTTTTCTGAGAACAATGTCCGGGAATAATCAAGCTTTTTTGTCTCTCTAATTTAGAATAAATAACGAGGATCAGCTGTTACAGAGTGCTGGAAGGAATAAGGGAGACAAACCAGCCTGAAGGGCGAGGAGGATAACCAAGGATAAGAGAAAATACACAGCGATATACTTTGTTTTGCACACTTAAAGAAACTGAGTAGGAAATTTGAAAAAGACTGGCGTGGTTGTCCGTTACGCGTAGTGTTGAGTGCATGCTTGGGATGCAATATAAACCGTTCGTTCAGGACAATACAGGGTCGTCCTGCTTCCCTTCGCTGCATAGCAAGATTATTTGGCACTTTATCGCTAAATATCTAAACGAGACCTTGGAGACGATTATAAATCTGCTGGAGTCTGAGCAGTTTTCAAATTAGTCCTACAAACCTGCAAGAAGCGAAACGAGACGTAAATAGTCCAGGTACAAATAGCTATTCATGTTACACACATCATTAAGCTACATAACGCGATTGAAATTAAGCTAATTTGTTTTATTTTATTTTATGTCAGATCATCCTGGAAGGGATCGCCTCCATCGTGATGCCGTGATGAACCACTACCACTATTTAGTCGTAAAAACTATAACAAGACTTAACTAGCATTAGCAATAGCACTAACCCAGCACTAACTCCAACGTCCGTCCCTGCAACAATATCTAAACCAATACCCAATCAAACAATCCAATCCACACCGCAAGGGTCCATTCGTGCAAACCATAACTTTTCACTAAATATATCACGAAATTGAATGCAAGAAATTCCAAAATGGGGTGGGGTAATCAACCCGTGACGACAGCTTCTGGAAAACGTGGACGTCATTCTAGTGAAGATAGTCGAAATACAAAGGGGGATACGAGCAGGAGTTGTGGTGGGAGTAAGAGTTTTTTGGGACATTGCGGCAGCTCGAAACCTGAGAATTTGACTGAAGAAGACATGAAGGCTCATTTTGGGAAGAGGGCACGAGACGTTTCGCCCTTGAATGATGCAGACGGCCCAAGTAGTAGTAGCAGCAGCAGTTGTACAAGCGGTACTGGCGATTTGATAGATGTGCTTCCAAATAGACTGACGATTAGTGGAGTAGACAGCGGCGCCACCACCTCGGCAGTACAGACGCCAGGTTTGCCCAAATTAATTTTTCAAAAACTACCGTACCACCGTACAATTAGTTAAGATTAGAAATTAGATTAAGAACCTGTAACTAACTTGTACTTTTTATTGCCCTTTTGACTTAGGCATTGTAGGTTGCTCAAAGAATAGCCTTCACTTTGAGAGTTCTTCCTCCAACCCCGACTCTGCCGTGATATCTTCATCAGTAGACTCACATGACCCGAGTAACAAACCTTCCACATCCCGTATTACTGTGTCGTCACAGGAAAAGTTTTACGATTTAGGAGACTTGAAAATTAGAACCTCGCGATTAAGACCATTGACTAACGGTGCACCCAAGGCACAAAGAGGACCACGAGTTTCTGCTGCAAGATTACGAACGGCCTACCCTAGAAAGATGACGAGTCCGACTAAAAAGCCTCACAAGAGTAGCAGTGGTACTCATAGTAGTGGCAGTAGCAGTGGGCTAAGTACTGCGTCCACGTCTAATGCGAGTAGCACGTCCACATTTAGTGAGGAAGATGGTACATCATAACAAATTAATTGTGCAATTAGTTTGGTCATTCAAATTTTGTAAAATGCATTCCATTTTTTTCTGCCTCTATATTAGGAGGATATGTCGATATAGACTGCGAGGAGGTTGATTCGACAGAGGGTGAGGCAGACTCTGAGGAATCTGTTGACGACGAAGTCTCCACTGCGTCTACCTTCGTCTCCGTCGACATGCTTCCTGTGGAGAATGTCAGTCTCGAAATTGTGCCTGCAATTCGTCCGTCGTATTTCCCTCACGTGCCGCCTTACATCAATTTCTGCCTATCAACGAACCAAAGAACTGAACCTTTACCTAGGGAAATTCAAAAACATTTAAAGTGGAGGTTGTCCAATATTACACCAGTGGTTGTGAAAAAAACGTTAACTAATTCAGGTGTGTATTTTCAAAGTCACCGATATCTCTTAAATCACAAATTATTGATTGACGCAATATTGTATTTGAATGCATCTCTGCTAGGTTTTTCTCTTCTCCGGAAAACGGTAGAATGGGGCGGGCATTGGGGTCGCCACATGAAGGCTGCTTTATTCAAGACTTCAATCAAAGACTTTCAAAAACTGAACCATCTTCCAGGAACGTTTCAAATTGGAAGAAAGGACCGCCTGTGGCGCAATATTCAGAGATTCATGAATAAATTTGGAAAAGAAGAATTTGGATTTATGCCCAAAACGTTTATTCTCCCAATGGAAATTAAACAATTGAAAGCTGCCTGGGACTCGTCCGATACCAAGAATCAGTTGTGGATTGTAAAACCAGTAAGACGAATTATTCCCTAAACTCTGATTATTAATATTTTTGTCTAGTCAAGTGGTTATATAAGAAAATAAAATAAATTAACAATTCTAAACGTACACAGCCTGCTCTTGCAAGAGGGACTGGGATTCGTGTGGTTAACAAATGGAACCAAATTAATAAAAAGAAGCCAATCATTGTTCAATCCTACATTGGAAACCCGTAAATTCATATAAAGAAATACTACAAAAAATATCTTCAAATAGTTCCCTCGGGCTAATTTTAAATTGTTTTGAATAGGTATCTTATTAATGATCGAAAGTTTGATCTTCGAAGTAAGCTGAAATTAATCTATTGCGTAAAACAAGCAACATTTATCGGAACTATTTTAATGGACAATGAATTCTGATTTTTTTTGCAGTTTACGTTCTCGTGACAAACTTTCACCCTCTAAAGTGAGTCGCATATCTTTCTTTGGTTGGTTTCATTGATTGGTTGGTCGAATTTTAGCAGATTTTTAGTAATTACAAAATTTACTTTCTTACACAAAGGGTATACATCTATAATGATGGATTGGTTCGATTTGCACCAGTAAAATACTCAAGCGATACGAAACGCGCAAGTGATCGGTTTATGCATTTAACAAACTATTCAATCAACAAAAACTGTGAACTATACACCCAAAACGAGGATGCCGACGCGTGTGAAGGACACAAATGGTATTTTTGATACTTATTTAGACTAGTTTTCCCGTACACGTGCATCATTACATTAATTGAATATTATACCCAGGACACTCAAAACATTGTGGCGTCATTTTGTCAAGGATGGAAAAGGTAATTTTTTTTTTACTTTTGTAGTATTACTGATACAATTACTGATTCAATATTTGTTGCAGATGTGACTAAACTCTGGAGTCAAATTGAGGAAATTGTGATAAAAACGCTAATTTGTGCCGAAGAACCGATTGTGTCCTCAACAACGTGCTACCTTCCAAACCTCTACAATGGTTACGAATTGTTTGGCTTTGACATTATTTTGGATGCTGAGTTCAAGCCGTGGTTACTTGAGGTGAATATCAGCCCTTCCCTCCATTCCTCCTCTCCACTCGACCTTGCCGTCAAAGGGCCCATGATCAAGGAGCTCCTCAACATTGTCGGCTACCATTTGCCACCCAAATTGTCTCCCCTTTTGAAGGTAAGTGTTTTTTTATAAATCTGACTTACTTATAACTGATTTTGATTTATTTAATTTTTCACCTCTATTTCCTCCACACTAGTCGATGTTGTCCAGTAGTTTGGATGTCACGCTGGAACTGGAAACACCCGTATTTGACAAAAGAATTTATGTAAACAACAGCCTCAGCAAAGAGGAGCAATCTAAGCACAAGTTTTATAAGACAAAATTTGAAAAACGAAGTGAGGTGGGTACACACGTTTTAACCTAATAAAACTAAAATCAATGAATCATTTGCGATCATAATCAATCTTAGTGCTTACTGAGTTCTTATTATGTCTGAATTACAGTATTTGGAGGATTTGATCGAGACGCTGACTCCAGACGACGTTCGCCAACTAATCCTTGCCGAGGACGAACTAAGCCAATGTTACAATTTTTATCGAATCTATCCTACAACCTCCACGCACACGTACACCCCTTACTTCGAACTCCCTCGATATTACAATATGCTGTTTGACGCTTGGGAAACCAAGTATCACGATGACCGAAGTCAAGCTGTAGCACGACTAGTGCTTCTTTGTAGACAAAAGATTCACCTCCAAGTTCCCGTTAATGCGGGGAGCATGGTAAGGGTACTACTAATCAAGCGCTTATCACCATTTTTTTTCCCCCAAACTATACAATTTCGTTTGAGCCTCATTCTTGTGAGTTGGAGGATAATTGTGGAGGGGCCACTTTTTTGTAAAGCTTGTTGACTAACCAACGCTTATATTTTACAAATCTTTTAATCTTTATGTATTCATGTGTGTGTGTGTGTGACATTAGGGAAAGGTTGTCAAGATTCTAGGCCATTCTATTCATGATGCCTATACAAAAGCCAGGGATTGTAAGTCCCCCTAAATTCCAGTAGAAGAGAACATTAAATACAATGCGCAGTGATGACTGTAATTTGAAAGTATTTATTGATAGATTTAACCTGTGGTCGTTCGTGCGTAGCATTACGATAGCTTTCATTGAGAAATTATAGTGTGGAATTTGGAACATAGTGTCTGCCAGTGAGTAAATAACCTAATGAGTAAATATGGTAATTTTTGACAAGTACACATAGAGGAATCCTACGTATCTAGTTATTTATACATTTGATATTATCATCTATTCGATATCCATAGCTGGTGAGAATTAATAATTATTTGGGTCTTAGAGATCAGTGTAGATTCGTCTGCTTCCATATTATTATTATTACATATTCTAAATATACCTCAGGTCAATGCTTGACTTGACTATATGTAAATTATTTAGTTGTACATAATGCTTCTGTATGTATCACAGATTCGTCTTCTTTAATGACTAATTCTAATTCTAAAATATATTTCCAGATCTCCGAGAGCCAGGTCATTGAAGATACCACCAGCGTCAGCAGCATTCTAAGTTCCAGTGATGATCAACAATCTACTGCTTCCACGAAAAATGGCAAGGAAACAACACATGAAAAGAAGGAGATTATCACTACCGATATTTCTGCTGATGTTGTTTCCAGTCCCTCTCCGCTTCAAAATTTGACTGAAACTACTCTAGAGATTTGTCAGACTGACGAGAAACTGAATTATTCCTCCTCTCCTACTCCACCCGCTTCAATTACTTCTGTGTTATCACCATCACTTCCAACTCCTGCACCCACCGTTCTAGACAACATCACCAACAATTGTGCGAGTCGATCGTTAGGCTCCTCATGTCCATGTCACCCACCGTCAAGTTTGGACCGTAGTAACAACGCTTTAAACGGAGGAAAACCGCCAAACGCCAATTCATCCATTCCATCTAAAGTTGCTGATCTTCCAAAGGGAATTTGCTTTTAACGGATCAATGCAAAGGTTTGTGGACACGGTGACTTATAATAATTGTAAAGGTTACTACGTCGTAAATACTACGATTTAAACTCTGCATGATTTATGAAATATGTGATTCATGATTTTGTTTTAGTAATAATTGACCATTTGCGTGAACCATAAACATTATAATTATTTATGGATTCTTTCCACCCTCTCATTATTTATAAAATTGTTTTGAAGCAGCCAAGAAGGACTATTTAATAAACTTGCCAGTTTTATTTTCCTTCAACGAAGCTTTCGACAAATATTGTATTTTTCAGGCATAACACAATCATATAAATATTTCGCAGTTACTCAATTTCATAATTTTTATAACTCGAACTATTTGTATAATTCTCGGATAGAATTTGTCTGGACCCTCATATCATTGATTTACTTATGCACGACCAGGGCCCATTTCTCTTGCAGGGGAGGGGTTGGTGATGAAATTGTTTGTTTCAATTAAAAATAATAATAAGAAGAACCCACTTTAAGCAAAATTTTGCCTGAATTTATATTTCATAGATCATTCATAAGCATCCATGCATTCATAAAACATACGAGGGTGAAATAATAAATACTTCGAAAAAGTAGGAAGGAAACGGATTTGAACCAAAATTTTTGCATGATAACAAACCTCACATACATTTAGGAAGTTAATCGAGCTATTCGTGACACCCAAGATAGAACCATGTGACGCCTTCGAAGTCTGAAGCTACGTCAAGACTAATAACTAATTTTATTTTGGAGTCAAGCTTAAGTCAAATATTCTAATCAAAAAATTGAATTTGTGAAAATAGGTAATCAGGTATATTATAATATACTTATTAATCTGATCTACCCCTGGTTCGTGCACAATTTCGGTCTGCCGTCTTCTACAATTTATTAAACAACCGGTGGGGGCCGACCATCTAAATAATAATTTGGCCGTTATAACATTTTATTTTCACTTTTTTTTTACACACGTTTGACATGTCCCGAATATATAACCTACAGTGCAGGCTTCATTTCAGCTTTCTAGCACTATTTTGAAAATTTGGTTTCAGTTGGGAAAAATTTTGCCGACCCAGGGGATCGCGATGGTCCGGAATGCGTTCATTGTATGCGACCCCCACCGGTGGACCGATTTGGCCCATCAATTCGATTCCTAAGTTTGCCCAATATGCCTATGGTGAAAATTTCAAGGCAATCGGTTCAGCCGTTCTGTCTCTATCGTGTTCACAGACAGACAGACGGACGGACATGACGGTTCCATAAACCCTGACTCGGGCTAAAATAAATTAAGAATTTTGCATATCAATAATTATAAAGGGATGTTCTTAAATTGCGTAACGGTTCAAGGGGAGGGAGGGAGTTGAAAACACCGTTACTTTTGAATAGCCACTCCCACTACCAGCAGCGAGCCTATTCAGGTTTGGGTGGGTGTAGTCTCTTCGCCGGTTGAAAGGATGAGACTTCTGCTTTCCTCCGAGAAACGGTGCAAAATAATGTGAACAACAAATGACGATCTCTTTAATGCAACGCCAATTTATTGTCACAATTAACTCACTAATTATTACACCAATTGTCCACTATTAGGACCACTGTCTCAGCAGTAAGTCTGCTCTGTTCCTATTCTAAACTACGACTTTTTTCTACCTCCTGTTAACCTTCACTAAAAAACCAAGGTTAATTGTTCATTGCCTTTCTTTCTGCCAACTCACCACCACCGCGAATGAAAAATAGTGGGGCGACTTAAAACACAAAAAAAGAGAGATTTTCATGCATGAAAAGCTTACATTACGTAAAATCCTCCCACCTTCTTTTGTGAGGGAAACGAACAAAAGAATACACCTAAATTTGAATTTAAACTCAATTTTGACAAATAAAAAACATAAATTTCATTGTGTATATCTAATTGGCTTCTTTACGGTCCGCCCTGACTTGGTTTGAAATGTATCATCTGTCGTAATCGGTTTAGTTACTCTTGGATCTTGTTGTTGTTGTTTAATCGGAATCTTGACTACGATCTCGTTGTCCTCAACGTCTCTTGCTGAGGAAATCTCCAGTGGAAATAGACGCTGGACGGGTCGGGTGAGAATCCCCGTAGTCGTCTTCACCTTTGCGACGCGGCGGACCCCATCTCGGCCATAAATTAACTCTACGATGCGTCCCATCGGCCAGTCCAGCCGTTTCCGGTTGTCACATCCGACTAACACGATGTCACCTTCTTCCAATTGATAACGTGACTTCCTCTCATTTCCTCTTTGCACCAGTAGACCCAAATATTCCTTGCGGAATCTCTCTCTCAATTCTCTTCTGAGGATCTGCATCGCTTTATATTCTGTAATTAGAGCCCCCTGGTCCACTTCTCTCAATTCGGGAAACTCTGCTCTCGTCTGACTCTGCATGAAAATTGACGGTGTCAAAGGGATGAGGTCATCATTATCCTCTGTTACATATGTTAAGGGGCGGGCGTTAATTACACTCTCCACTTCGCAAATACAGGTTGAGAGTTGCTCCAAATTGACTCTAGATTTGCCCAACATTCTCTTCAGTAAATCCTTAACACTTCTTACTAATCGTTCCCAGAATCCTCCCCACCACGGACTTGAAGGAGGATTCATAATCCATTGAATCTTCTGTACGCTTGCTGTTGACTCAATCTTTTTCCAGTCCAATTTCTTAAAAATGTTGTCGGTGCCCACAAAATTTGTACCATTATCCGAATAGATTGTCGTTGGCCTCCCTCTTCTGCTGATAAATCTCGACAATGCGAGAATAAATGCCTCTGTAGAGCACGCCGCGACCAACTCTAAGTGTACGGCTCTGTACACGGCGCACGTGAAGAGAACAATCCAAACTTTGCTCCCGTCAGCAAGAAATAAGGGGCCGGCGAGGTCCACTCCAGTGATCTGGAACACTGCGGCGTCCAAAACCCGATTTTTTGGAAGTGGTGCTGCCTCAACTTCGCAACTTTTTGCAGCAAACCTCCGACATCTTACACATCTATTTACAATCTTCCGGATGGCCCGACGTGACTGAATTATCCAGAACTTTTCCCTCAATTTTCCCATGAGAAACTGAATCCCCCCATGTGCGTGGCGTAAATGCTCTTCTCGGATTAATTGTGCCACAAACTCGTGTGAATGAGGGAGTAGTATTGGGAATTTGTAATTTCTCTCATCTTCACTATTAACCAACTTTGTCTCGACGACTAGAAGTCCATCTGCGGATCGCTTGATTTTTAAGTGAGCTTTATTCTTCCACCTTTCTTCACCAAATGTTTCAGACTGGATCATCCTCGTCACAACTTTCTCCGCATTCCATAACTCTTCTTGTGTGAGATTTCCAGATCCAGTTTTAGCTCGTCTACATCTTGCCACAAATCGAAGCATCCAGGCAATTAGTCGTATATTGCGGGAGGCGAGAGAGTATCTCTGTGCGTACCATGGGACCGCTGCCCCCATCGCCACGAGTGAGACACTAATCTTCTTCTTCTCTTTATCCACCGCCTCGTCGTCTGTATCTTCTTGTCCGGTTGGCCAATTTTCCTTCGGTTTTGACAACCATGCTGGTCCCTCCCACCATTTACTGTCTACTAACTTCTGCGGGGAGCAACCCCTTGATGGAAGGTCCGCTGGGTTGATCACTCCTGGGACATGTGACCACTAATCTGGGGACGACAATTTGCAGATTTCTTTTACGCGATTTCCCACAAATGTCCCCCACTCATTATTTCTTTTTATCCACGCTAGCGCAGTAGACGAATCGCTCCAATAAAACTTCTCAATTGACTGCAATGATAACGCCTCCACCACGGTCGACATCAATCTTGCTAATATGACGCATCCCATTAATTCCAATCTCGGTATTGTGGTGGTAGGTCGAAATGGAGCTACTCTTGACTTTCCTTGAAGTAGATGACACTTGATCCTTTCGCCGTCATCCACTCTTACGAATACTGCCGCTGCGTATGCAAATTTACTTGCGTCGGAAAACCCGTGAAGTTGGTAGGTAGTCCGAATTCCAATTCCAATGTACCGAGGGATACACACTTTCTCCATTAATCCAATCTGGCGGCCCCACCACTCTCTAAATTCTCTCTGCATCTTCTCATCCAAACCATCATCCCACGATTTGTTCACTTTCCACGATTCTTGCAATAATATTTTGGGGATGATGGTGGCGGGGCTAAGATATCCCATCGGGTCGAACACGCTCTGGGTGTGCGACAAAAGTGTCCTTCTCGTGATAACTTCCGGTAGTTCAATCTTCGGAATATTGACAAATAGGCAGTCCTGCACCTTATCCCACTTCATCCCGAGGACGCTCGTGACCGAGTGAGAGATGTAGTCGCTGCCAGGTCCAGGTTGGCACTCACTACACTCCCACTGGCGGAGCTCCATCTTTGCTGAGGCGAGAAGTCGGGTTGCCTTTTCTCTCAAATCTTCTAATTCTCCCACCGTGTCCACTGACGTGACGAGATTGTCGACATACAATGATTTCGCCACTTGCTTCGCTACCACTTTCTCTTCGGGCACGGTGGTGTCGAGATGCGATGATATGACCGCTCCCCATAGAAATGGACTACTATTCACTCCAAAGACGACTCTCTTATGCCGAAAAATCTTGATTTCTGTTCTCTTCGTCTCGTCCTCCCACCACAGAAATCTTAAATAATCCCGGTCCACTGGATCCACCTCTATCATCTGGAACGCCTTCCGGATGTCCGCTATTACTCCAACTTTCTTCTCCCGGAAGCGTAAAATTAAAGAGGGGATTAGTTCCAGCAGGTTGGGCCCCTTCTCCAGGCAGTCATTCAGTGACGGGTTGCGTCCAGTTTTACACGAGGCGTCGAAAACTGGGCGCACCGGAGTGGTCAAACTTTGCGGCTTGAATACCGGATGGTGGGGAAGATAATGCACGCCTCTCTCCTTACTGCAGTTATCCTGAGTGCTGACCTCTTCTACAAATCCTTCCTCCACCCATTGTTTGAATAACACTCCGTAGTCATTGATCTTATTCTTTTCTAATAGCTTTTTGGTTCCAGACACCAGCCTCTTCTCTGCTATTATTCGGTTGTCTGGAATATTGGGGTTCTCCACTATCCACGGAAGTCGAACGGAATACCGCCCCTCTTCATTCTGCTTGACAGTTTCTTGAAACTTCCTTAATGTGTCCTCTTCTCTCTCCGTTTTGCTCTTCACTTCCGCTGGATCTGTAATGCCCAAACTCTCGAGGCTCCATAGCGAAGTGATTGACTCTTGACACGAGAGAAGAGAAATTGAAACTGCTGCGGTATTTACCCCTTCTGGTCTTCTTCCTGATAACGCCCACCCCCACACGTACTGTATTGCCGTTACTCCACACTCTAGCGATTCAATGCGGCCGGTCATTAACATGCCCTCGTAGTCGTTCCCGACCAAAACTTCGATTTCTGGATTTGCTGAGCTGAAGTCCGTAACGGAAACTTTCTTCCGTGCGAGTTCCTTAATCCATTCCCCTCGTGGTATTCGCGGAATAAATCCAACAATCTCTTCTTCATCATGCGCCACGAGGGTTCTAGTGTGGCGTCCATTGAGGTCTCCAATTTTCAGTTGGTAGTTGTGATGAAGCATCTGTTCAGTTACACCCCCTCTATAAATCATCTTGGCTTGTCTGAATGCTCCCATCGCTTTCAACCCCAACGCTCTGACTGTTTCTTTCGTGACAACCGTGCGATGCGTCGAAGAGCAACCTTGCTACTCTGTATCTGCCACGGTTGTCGTACAATCTGACTAACAAAGTTCTTGAGAGTACTGCGCCGGAACACTCTTGACTCGCCATGGCGCTAGACGACCCACTTTGTAGTCCTCCAAATTGTTCATGACTTGTATCATCCCTCCTTGCACTATTTACTTCATTGTTTTTATTTGAAGGATGATTATAGCACATGATACTGTAATGTCGTCTCGTACAAATTCCGCACTGTATTTTTGCTTTGCACGTCGCCGCTCGATGTCCAAATCTGAAGCATGTGAAGCAAACTTTCTTATCCCTTATCCTGCCCTCCTTCTCTTTATAACTCATCTTCTGAGCCGCATAATATAAATTGCTGGCAAGACTCTTTCCACAAAATATACATAGACTTGAACTCGGACTTGTAGTTGACACGAGCCCTGCTGCAGTTGCGATTTCTTCTTTGTGACCTGTTATCTTTGGAGAATGTCGTTGCCCGGCTTTCTTCTTTTCTTTCTCCCCGCTCGTCATCTCAATCTTCCATTCGCTCTCCATCTCATCTCTCAAAAAATCCAGTAAGCATTCTAATTTTGATTTAGGAGGGACGAGAGTTGACCCATCCACCTTTGAGAGAGGAGAACGAAACCACGTGGCGAGCGTCTCCTTCGGCAAACTTTTAACGATCATGGGGAGTAAATATGGCGACGACTCCTCCGACTTCACATCAAGTGACTCCAAATTCTGCAGTTGAGTTTGGAGGGCCATGAAGAATTTCGAAATCGAACTCTTATCTTTGTTGAATAGTAGCTCGGCCAAATCTGTCATGTACATTGCCACCAGCATGTCCTTCTTTCCATATTTCTGTGTTAACATGTCGACGGCTTTTTGGTAATTTTGAGGGGCTTTTGGGAAACTTCCTACAATTTCTGCTGCTTCAGTTCCACTTTCCATGGACTCAATGAGGTATCGGAATTTGTCGGGAATTGATAATGACTGGTCGTTATGAATTAACTCATAATGTGCCCACCATCCGAGCCAGCTCCTCATCTTCCCGTCGAATTTCTGTAAATTGCATTTGGGCAATTTAACTCTTCTTTCACCTCCACTCGAACCGAGACTATTTGCACTTCCGACGGGTGATTCCGGTCGACTGGGAGTTGAAATCGCAGTCTTAATCCGTAGAATCATCTCAAGTGAATCTTCATTTATCTCTCGCCACTTCTTTCTGCTTTGCCGAAACTTATCTTCAAGATTTTGTAATACGTAGTGGTCGAGAACTTGACCCGCGTAGTGCTCTGCTTCTTCTGTTAATTGTTGAACAGTCTGCAACTTCCGAGTGAGAATAGCCTGGTCCGGCTGTGCTTTGGCTAATTCTTGACGTGCTATTTCCATATCTTCGTTCAATAACTTTATTGACACTTTTCTTCTCATTTTCATTTGCATAAATGGGGTTTGTTGCACTCTCGGCGTTCGTAGTGGTGGTGACCGCGGCGCATCTTGTAATCGTTGTGGCGAAGGAACAACGACGTCTTCTTCCTCTTCCAACTCCTCTTGATTACGCGCTCTGGTCCCTCCACCTCCTCTTACTGTTTCCTGATTAAAAAGGCCCCACATATTTAGGAATTATTCACGCACGACAAGAATTGAAACAATATGACCTGGCTATACTCCCGTCCGGTGGGAGTTAACCACTATGTACTCAGCGTGTCGATTTCCAGCACGACACCGGCCTGCTCTTCCAAAATGTTGTGGTCCTGCGGTCCGAGTTGCGGCTGAGTCCTCCCCTCCTCCTTCTTTAAAATCCAAATTTGAGTGGACGACCCGGCTGCTCTATTTCCTCTTCAAATCTCGAGACCAACAGACCCAACAGAACAAAACCAATTAGTTATGACAAACCAAACGTCTGAACGATACGGACCTGGATTGACTGTCCTTAGGGCGACAGTAAACCGCAAACTCTTTATCTCCTACTTCCTGGTCCGACGATGTCGTTCTTCTCCTCCCACCGTCTGCACTGGGCCACAATGGGATGAACACACCTTCCAAAATCGACGAATTAACTACCCCCCACCCGGGGGCGCCAATGATTTTGAATAGCCACTCCCACTACCAGCAGCGAGCCTATTCAGGTTTGGGTGGGTGTAGTCTCTTCGCCGGTTGAAAGGATGAGACTTCTGCTTTCCTCCGAGAAACGGTGCAAAATAATGTGAACAACAAATGACGATCTCTTTAATGCAACGCCAATTTATTGTCACAATTAACTCACTAATTATTACACCAATTGTCCACTATTAGGACCACTGTCTCAGCAGTAAGTCTGCTCTGTTCCTATTCTAAACTACGACTTTTTTCTACCTCCTGTTAACCTTCACTAAAAAACCAAGGTTAATTGTTCATTGCCTTTCTTTCTGCCAACTCACCACCACCGCGAATGAAAAATAGTGGGGCGACTTAAAACACAAAAAAAGAGAGATTTTCATGCATGAAAAGCTTACATTACGTAAAAGTTACGAATGGGGGAGCGGGTTTGAGACAAGCGTTACGTAACTTTTTTTCTGTCGCCCCAAAATAAAGTTTATGGTTTATTTGTTTATTTTCTTCCAAACCAAAACAAAAATTCAGTATTCTTTCGGTGCATGCATTGATTTATTAAGCTGGAAAATGATATGAAACTCTTAATCCTGCTGGATAAATAATTGGTGGCGATAAGAGTAATCCAACACCATTTATATATGTATACACATACCATGAATCACATATCATTTACATCATATGCATGTACATACCCAGAGCTAGCTAGACACAATAAATCGCAGACGAGGTATATTGTTTGTTCAACAGTCATTCATGAATTTCGGACATGAGCCGTGAATACTGTATTGTCAGGACCCTCCGTTCATACTGTGTAGCAATCTCCGTGTAACAGCGACAAGGCGAATTTCTTAGCTTGCCTATCAGGCGACAAATTTCGAAAACTCCGTGGACCGTTGCAAACAGAACAGAATTCATCATGAAAGGAGACTGTGGTAAGGGAGTGTCCATAAATCACGTGATCGACAAGAGGGGGGGAGGGGTCTGAAATTTGTCACCTATTATCACCAAGGGGGGGGGGGTAATGGCCGGCAGTCACGTGACATGCCACGAAAAAATTTTCTTTTAACTTCGGATGTAAATAGTAAATTTGATAATATGTATTTACTTACATCATTAACCTCTTTTATCTTAAATCCGAATACGCCGGCTTTTTAAATTTTTACTTGACAATCTTACGTAGGTCTGGTTTGCGTATATATACCACTCTTCCAAATTTCAGTGCACATTCATAGAACTCTCATTATTCTTTCAGATAATAAGTTTACACAGTTGTCCTTAAGATGTCATGAATGTTAAATTACTTAATATACTTACTGATTAGTGTTACATAGTTCTTTCAATAATTTTAAAATTTAATTTAACTGCGGATTTGAAATGGCCCAGGAATATTATTTTTGGGTTAATTTGTGCCATGTGTTTTCCTGTCGGAAATAGGTCAGTTTGGCGAAAAAACTTTTTGCGAAAAAAAAATCCGCCACAAAAAATCACACCTGGCGAAAAGTTGGTTTAATGTGTATCCTGTCACGTGACCGTGGGGGGGGGTAATGAATTTATCACCATCGGTCACCAAGGGGGGGAGGGGGTCAAAATTGTCCAAAAATCGATCACGTGATTTATGGACGCTCCCTAAGATAAATACTTTAATTCGTCTCGCATATAAATATGTTAATATGTAAATATGTAATACCTGGTTCTTCCGTTGTGCGGATAAATTAACAAAAATTGTGTGTATGCATTTCAAGATTCAAAGTTTGAATTTCAAACCCTGACGCATCTTCAAGACTCCATTACACAGTGTTCAAAGAGGCCAATTTATTGGAAGTAATTCCCCGAGCACTTTTCTCTTAATATTGTTGCATTTTCCGAGCTCTGGGGGGTCAAAGACGTGCCCATAAAAAATTTGACGAGCCACACCCACTTTGGGTGTGGTTTTTTCCTAGTGGGTTTAGGGTCAATCGCCCAGTCCAAACTTGTGTGCTAAGCGATTCTACACCTTCTAAAAAAATTTCATCAAAATCGGTCCATAAACAAAAAAGTTATTGCAGGTCAAAGTTTGGCGAAAGGCAAAACACCCCTACTTTAGGGGCGTGGTTCTCCGAAGAGTGCAAACTTCAAACTCTGAAAATGGTTGTAAATGATGGCCCCCCTTGGTGTGTACATATTCTGAAAAAATGGAGTTCTGAAATTTGCACATTTCCATGATACATGGCTGGGAACATTGAAAAAATTCATGTCGAAATTGTCCAAAACAGGCGAAACTCAACATGACGTAGAGTAGTAAAAATCGATATCTAGCTTCAGCTAGGGCTAAAAAGTGCGTCGCAAGTGAAATTGACCCATGTCGTAAGGGAATGGCGTCGACTTGTGGAAATTTCGACATGATCCTATAAAGCTCAAATTTAAAACCAATACTCCTCCACCATTCAAAATAATTATTCTAGCACTTTTGGCAATGTCGACAGTCAATTTCGCCGATTTTGAAATTTAGACATTTTAAAGGTCAATATTCGGCGAAATGGGCTGTCGACATTGCCAAAAGTGCTAGAATAATTATTTTGAATGGTGGAGGAGTATTGGTTTTAAATTTGAGCTTTATAGGATCATGTCGAAATTTCCACAAGTCGACGCCATTCCCTTACGACATGGGTCAATTTCACTTGCGACGCACTTTTTAGCCCTAGCTGAAGCTAGATATCGATTTTTACTACTCTACGTCATGTTGAGTTTCGCCTGTTTTGGACAATTTCGACATGAATTTTTTCAATGTTCCCGGCCATGTATCATGGAAATGTGCAAATTTCAGAACTCCATTTTTTCAGAATATGTACACACCAAGGGGGGCCATCATTTACAACCATTTTCAGAGTTTGAAGTTTGCACTCTTCGGAGAACCACGCCCCTAAAGTAGGGGTGTTTTGCCTTTCGCCAAACTTTGACCTGCAATAACTTTTTTGTTTATGGACCGATTTTGATGAAATTTTTTTAGAAGGTGTAGAATCGCTTAGCACACAAGTTTGGACTGGGCGATTGACCCTAAACCCACTAGGAAAAAACCACACCCAAAGTGGGTGTGGCTCGTCAAATTTTTTATGGGCACGTCTTTGACCCCCCAGAGCTCGGAAAATGCAACAATATTAAGAGAAAAGTGCTCGGGGAATTACTTCCAATAAATTGGCCTCTTTGAACACTGTGCATTATCCTTTCCTAATGACTATTTACATATGTGTAGTTTTGATCTGTACAGCGGTTGCCCGACGGACACATTTCATGACTTGATCGAGACATTCAGAGTCTGTAATTCTGTATGTACAATATCGTATCATGAAATAAGTATGTATATATTGATGATGACCATGATGACTGGTTACTTCACCTACTGCGAATGGGTTGCACTATCCGTGTCCACTTATGATGACTTGTTGTTGTTGTCTGTGTACATCATACAACATTATAATGCTCTCCTCTCTGTATGTCAACGCGTTGTTGTGTTTTTGGACTTGAGGTTGAGGTGATAAGAAGATGCGATCAGATGTTGATCGTCTGGTTGTTGTGATGAGTTTTATGGTCTATTGGTCCAATTGAATGAGATGGGTTGAGATTCTTATAGTGCTGCATGTAAAATGTCGCATTTTTCTACATCTCCTTATTTATTTCGTACATCCACGCACAACACCTCGCCCACAGCAGCAGCAGGAACATCAGCAGTACAGGAATGCAACGTCGTTTCCGTTCCCTTTGGTGCAAGGCCAACAAGTTGCTCACTGCCAACAACAACTTCAGAATCGTTCTAAATCCCTGGTTTCATCCTCCGATTTTAAGATTAGTTCGGTGTTTATCCACAGATTTTCCAGTTGGAGCCCCGTCCGCTACTCCCGCGGGGGGTGGAGGAGGGGACGATGGTGAGAGAAGGAGCAAGAAGCTGTTCACGCCTGGCCCCCTCGGCGTCAGCCCAACCGTTCGTGCTGCCCTGACACGAGATCTGGGGTCCAGGGATGGGGAATTCATTGCCCTTGTGAAATCCATAAGGGAACAGTTGGTCGACATTGCGGGTGAGAGGGAATTAATAGTTAAATGTTTCGGTTGTTGTCGGTGTATGATTCCTCATCCTCATTTGTTTACAATCTTGTTGCGCAGAACTCCCGGCAGAAAAGTATACTGCCGTGTTGATGCAAGGAAGTGGTACGTTCGCCGTGGAATCCGTGCTCCAGTCGATTTCGGACCGCACAAAAAAGGCACCATTGTAAAAGTCATATTCATCCTGCCACAGGAAACAATTGTTTTTGTTTGCAGGTGTTGATCTTGGCCAGTGGTGCGTATGGTCGTCGGATGGGCGAGATTTGCCTCAAAGCCGACCTTCCTCACACCGTGGTCGAGTTTGCGGAGAACGAGCCTGTTCAACTCTCTGAGGTGCGTCGCGTGGTTCAGTCCGGCGTGTGGACCTGCGTGTGCGTGGTCCACTGCGAAACCACGTCCGGGGTGGTGAACCATATTGATGAGATTGGCCACGCGGTCAAAAGTCTGGGTCCAGACACGTTCTACGTGGTGGACGCCATGAGCTCATTTGGAGGGGTGGTGGAGAACTACGAGACGGCCGACTTCATCATCAGCTCGGCCAACAAGTGTCTCCAAGGTAAGCCAATTTTCGGTACAATTGTTGACTCAAGTAGCCGTTGAGGAAGTAGTCATAATATTTTAATACTTGTCACTATTTGTCTGCCTGTTTGCAAGGGGTGCCCGGCTTCGGCTTTGTGATTGCAGACAAGAACAAGCTAAAGCAGTGCCAAGGTGAGAATTTGTCATTCCAACCCTTCCTAATTATTAATTTAGTTCAAGTGTTTGGAGCTGCACATGTCGTCAAACGTGTCAAGCAAATGGTGGATGGTGTATTTATAGGTCGGAGCGCATCCCTGAGCCTGGACTTGTTTGAACAGTGGCGTGGGTTGGAGTCGTCTGGTCAGTTCCGTTTCACGCCACCCACCCACGTGCTCCTCGCTTTCGCCCAAGCCTTGAGGGAGCTGAAGCAGGAGGGTGGCGTCCCGGCCAGGGCGAAACGGTACGCAGAGAACAATGCAATAATTAAGAGGAGACTCAAGTCGTTGGGGTTCGAGCGATTCGTTCCAGAAGATTCGGATGATGGTCACATTATCACCTCATTCAAGTATCCTGCCCATCCAGCCTTCAGCTTTGACCGCTTCTACCAGGAGCTGAGCAACAAAGGTACGGTGACCACTTTTCATATGCATCCGTGCCTAGGATATTATGGGTGGAAGTAGCGATGTGGTGGTGGTTGGCCGGAGCACTTTTCTCAGTAATTTTAATTAACTTGCGTGCCTTCATAATCTAAATTGTGGTACCTCCTCCTGATTTTTGTGGTCCTACTGTTTTAATTGTGCTGGATCGGTCCGATTAATGTGGAGGTGCATTGTGGCGTCTCATCTTCTCGTGACTTTTTCTCCATGATATGTACACATAATATTCCTAAAGTCTAACCCCTAATTACTCCACCTTTTAACTTGCTCATCATCATCATCATTTTGCTGGCTTCCTTGCTTAATTAGATTTGAGCGAGGTTGAGGAGTAAAAGTTGAAAGGGTAAAACAAAACCGGATCCGATGCGTTAATGTTTGTCTCTCGCTCTTACAACACTATCGAATCAAGTGGATTTTTGAATAGCTTCTTCTTTTCTGCTTTTTCTGAGGGTGAAGATCCCACTAAATGATTTCAACATGTTTTTGTAATTGTATCGTGCTAGCTACGTATGCGTAATAATTTCCCTAATGTCTAACCCCGAATTATTATTATTTGAATTGGATACGTGGATGATGTGATGTGGGGACGATGATGATGGAATTAATTCATTCCTTCAGAGTGTAACACAGTCGAGGTTTTTTGTACAATAAAAGGGTAGACGATTCGATAGTTGGCTTCAAGAAGCAACCCATCCGTCCGACATCCATCAAACGAGTCGAATAAGAAGACAACGACGAGAGGTTTGAGAGAAAGAAAATCGTTCTCTTTAAAAATGTGGAATAGCCAAAGCACTGGCTGAGAGGCTGGCTGCATGGGTGAGAGGAAGGGTTAGATTATCTCGTACAATAGCTTCCTTAGCTCCAGAGGTGAGCCAAGCATTAGACAAAAAATAATAAGAAAGAAGGTTGGATGGATTATTCAAGAAGCTAGAATAATCAGAAATTAAATTGGGTTAATTTTAGGGTGAGAGAGCATCGTAATGTAGTTCTGAGCAAATTGGGGAAGATTTTTAATAGTAATTGGGTAAATGGAGCGGAGGATAAAACCCATAATTAATTAAATTAGAATGCATCAGTTCTCCATGCATCAACGGGGAAGAAATAATTGAGGAGCGTATGTGGAATAAAGTTGTACTTAAAAATTGTTTTCTTGATTGTCCTTGCAGGTCAGCTAATTTATCCGGGCAAGGTGACCAATGCAGACTGTTTCCGGATCGGGAATATTGGGCATCTCTTTCCCACTGACATGGAACATTTGGGCGACTGCATTGTCCAGGTTTTGATGGACATGGGAGTTCCAACCCCGGTCTCGTCGTCCCAACTTTGATCTGATTTTTCAGCATTCTTTATGCAGTTCTGTTGGACTTATTTCAAATTAAAGGATTGCGTAATAAACACATGTTTACCAATGAACGATCCAAGCAGGAAAGCGTATTGAACCGGAACCATTCATGCATTTCTCCAATGATGGCGTGGGCAGAGGCTTTCATGTATTTTCTCTGTTATGATCCAATTATGGGATCCGTTTCATAGACACCAAAAATGTATCTCTCCTTTGTCCCGTGATGACCGGTCCCTGTCTTTTTGCCCAATCACAAACAAAGTCATCACCGTCTCATCTTTCCGTCCGTCGCACCTTTCGCCCCACGTCGGCTTCTTTCTTTAGTCTCAACTCCACAATCTTGGTATCTGTTTCCTGGTGTCTTGAAGCGGAAAATGAGTAATCTGTCAATTCCATTATGTACTCGCCTCGAAGTGGCCGTGGTTTACTTTTCCTTGGTCGCTCTCCACCTGTCGAAGAAGACTTGGTTTGTTTTGTCTTTTGTGCTCCGTCCCTTCGTCCTCTTCGCTTGGATGAGCCTGTCCACCCACCAGACTCGGAATACCTCAGCTACCAAGATTCGATATCCTCAGCACGGTGCCCCACGCTTTAACTGTATTCATATAAATATCACACGGTCCCTGCGCCTCACTGCTAGTCCAGATTAGTCCCGATATGCCGACAACAATCGAATGCAGCCATCCATTCCAATACGATGAGCAGAAGCAAGAGCACATTTTTTTCATCAAATGAACCAATTTCCAAATTGTTCCGACTTCAATCACCATTGTGCGCATTTCATGATTTCCTTTCCGAAATTCACGTTTAAGGTTTGATGAAAAACTTTAGATGCCACAAAATTCTACATAAAACGCAGAAAAATGGTAAGCAGATGGTTTTGCCTGTGTACTTTTGAGAGTAATACTTTTGCATGAATCTGTTTTTTAAACGTTGCTTGAACTCTTTGTGTTAGTTTCAGCTCTCTCTCGAAATGTTATCTTCTACAGTGCAATAAAACCGTAATAAAACAATAACTGTGAGATTTGGCTGGATTTATGACCAGCTATTTATTTTGTTCATGTTTCTTTTTTGATAATTGGTCTGAAATATAGACCGTGCTATGTATGCATGTACATTGTTGTTTTCCTCTCTTGTATGCAGATAGCCCATTTAATTGACGAGTGGGAAAAGGTGATGACTTTATCCGAGGACCATTCAGGTAACAATGACAAGTAGAAGAAAACTGCAATAAAATGAAGAAAGGGAAACATTTTGTAATTTTATGGCCGTATGTACACTCCAAAAGTCCAACGACAAAGTTGCTGTCTCATTTTGTGGACGGTAAATGCGAGATGAGGGATTTTTTTCCTCAGTGGGAGCCCTTTTACTCGTCCGAAATTATGGAGGAGAGGACACCTTCTCAAAACACTTTAACTGACTTTAAGGGTTTTATTGGTGGCAGGGTTTCTCGTCTCGCTTGTTACGCATCCCTTGTCTTGCTGTCCCTACTTTATCATCCCATTGGATTTTATTGCGATGAGACATTTGATACAGTCGACAGGGGGCACAGGAAAAGGAGACTCCACTCCTGCTACTCCTGCTCAAAAAGTGTGGGGAAGGGTATGTAAAATTATAGTTAGTAGTGATCTATTTCGTTGTTGGGAAGATGCCCTCAGGTAAATCCACATGTAGTGAGGAAACCAGGGTTAGAAGGGGAGAGTGAAACAAGGATCTCGGAGACCTTGGCAGTGCCCTTTATTACACACACCCCTTTAGACTTGGCTTCTATTTACGAGGGTGAACTGGCTCACATAAAGTGAAGCGTGTCCAATTAAAATTAAATTGAGAAAGAGAGGAAGGGAGATTATGGGGTGGGGATCTGTGAAGAAGTCTCACTCTTTTGCCGTGAACTTTGCGATTCGAAGTCGGGATCAGAGAAAATAGAGCGTTGTAAAAGAGATGGGGATTGGATAAGAAAGTGTGTCATTTGTGGGTGGGTGGGTGGGTGGAGTGTATGTCACACTGTGCTTGGAGTCATTTGGGGATGCTGGGCGTGGTGGTGACTGTTTGTTGATGACTGCGGGTAATTAGGGAGGCAGGAACAGTCTGTAATGAGGGCGAGGTGACAAAACAACGAAGTGAGAGCAATTGATCACTCACTTAATACGAAAAACTTATAGTTACTTAGATCTCCTTCTTCCCTAAAGTTGGAGTTCTGACATAAAACTATTTACTTACCTGTGCACTGCATCAGCAATCGTGAAATCATGCATGCACATATGCATTGTGGGCTTTTTCAGATCATGTCTCATTTGTCTAAATGTCAAAAATGAAGAAATAAGAACTTTAGCAATTAAGACATGGGCCAAATCTAGCTCTGGTAGTATCGCACTTTAAAATCGGACAAGTAATTGGTCTCACAGTTCAGTGAGAGGTAAGTGAGGGCAATTAGTGGAAGGACAACAGCGTGACAATCGCATGCTTGTTTGGACGACACAAGATTGCCCTCAATAACACCTGCTACCATTTAGTCTGCTTATTGCCTGGACTGTTTGTTCAAGAAAGACAAACCAACCACCATTTCATAGTCAGTGGTATTATAACGATGCCAAGTTTTCAACCCTTTCAATACAAATAGACGAGATCTATTTCGACCTTTGTTTTGCTCCCAATTTCATTTCGAATAGGACTAAATTGATTTTTATCAGAAAATGTAAATGAGCCTGAAATTTGTCATTCTTGATGAAGGGCCATGGTTGGAAGGGAGGAGAAGGAGGAGGTAATTTAGAAAAATTATGCTTGTTGCATGCGTGAAGGAAGAAATTCAATTAAGGTAACACCACCACCAGACCTCTTCTCCTCATTATCACTTTGCTCTCCTCCGTAATTGCCAGGGTCACGCCATCCACCCAGCCGGGCAGAAATTGCTTCATTTACTTGATCGCATGTTATCCCCAGTTTTAGTTAGCGTGGGTTAATACATAATTAAGGTCGTTCTCTGGCTGGGGATAAGAAATGAGTGGACGACATACTCTCAAATTTTCCACAAAAAAAAATCTCCTCGCAAGAAGAAGGAACGAATTAGAAAATTCTTTGCACAATTGAACTCTTTCAAGAATTAGGCTGAAAAATGTGAACTGCTTTTTCGAGACGAATGGAATAATTGAAGGAGACTGACTTTTCCTGCGACAACGAGCGGAATCTCATTTCTAAACTTTTGTCATCATTTCCGCATGCACGCCTACTCCAGAAGCAGGATGACTTCAGTACGCCAACCAATCGGACCATGTCGTCATTTCATTGTTGCATCAGTCAATAAGTGCGCCGTAGTTGGTGCTGCCGGGATAAGTTATGTGGCGGGCCTCAGCGCCTAGCACCTCAGGCCACAGCACCTAGCGCCTACTTAGTTGGCCACAGCGCCTAGCCCCTAAATAAGTGGGCCACAGCGCCTAACGCCTAAATAAGTAGGCCGTAGCGCCTAGCGCCTACTAAGCTGGCCACAGCGCCTATGGGGTAAATTGAGAAAGTCAGAGAAACATCAATACGAGACTGGCAAAATTACAGAAAATGTCATATATAGCTGAAATACGGGGATGATTTTTTTGAGGTAAAGTTAGATGTCTGGGGTAAGCTGAGATTTCTAGTTTCTAGCTACTACTAACTAGTTTTTCTAGCTAGTTCTCCTAGCTAGCTCTCCTAGCTAGTTCTCCTAGCTAGCTCTCCTAGCTAGTTCTTCTACCTAGCTCTCCTAGCTAGCTCTCCTAGCTAGTTCTTCTAGCTAGCTCTCCTAGCTAGTTCTTCTAGCTAGCTCTCCTAGCTAGTTCTTCTAGCTAGTTCTCCTAGCTAGCTCTCCTAGCTAGTTCTTCTACCTAGCTCTCCTAGCTAGTTCTTCTAGCTAGCTCTCCTAGCTAGTTCTTCTAGCTAGCTCTCCTAGCTAGTTCTTCTAGCTAGCTCTCCTAGCTAGTTCTTCTAGCTAGTTCTTCTAGCTAGCTCTCCTAGCTAGTTCTTCTAGCTAGCTCTCCTAGCTAGTTCTTCTAGCTAGTTCTTCTAGCTAGCTCTCCTAGCTAGTTCTTCTAGCTAGCTCTCCTAGCTAGTTCTTCTAGCTAGCTCTCCTAGCTAGTTCTTCTAGCTAGCTCGCCTAGCTAGTTCTTCTAGCTAGCTCGCCTAGCTAGTTCTTCTAGCTAGCTCTCCTAGCTAGTTCTTCTGTTAACTAGGATTGCCAGCTAGGACTGCTAGCTAGGATTGGTAGCTAGGACTGCTAGCTAGGATTGCCAGCTAGGACTGCTAGGATTGCCAGCTAGGACTGCTAGCTAGGATTGCTAGCTAGGATTGCCAGCTAGGACTGCTAGGATTGCCAGCTAGGACTGCTAGCTAGGATTGCTAGCTAGGATTGCCAGCTAGGACTGCTAGCTAGGATGGCCAGCTAGGACTGCTAGCTAGGATTGCCAGTTAGGACTGCTCGCTAGGATTGCTAACTAAGAATGCTAGCTAGGACTGCTAGGTAGGAGTGCTAGCTAGAATAGCAACGCTTTCCGCGTACCTAGTTTAACTAACCTAACCTGCTCGCTTCGCTCGCTTACTACGAACAATACCCCAATATGGGGCATAATTACGATAATAGTTGACACACTTTTCCCCAATATTCTAGCAATGCTCAATAAATTTGCCTCTTTGCGGCAAAATAATTTGCGTTCAATATTCTACGACAAAATCTAAAAGTGTTATCTTGCCCTAAAGATCTCATTTCACCCCAAAAAATTTCCCTCCGTGGGGGAAGTGAGACAACTTGGAATTCTCTGAAACTTCCAAAAATGTTGGCTTCTTGTGACCTTACATTTGCCGGTCAAAAAATTTATATATTCGTGATCAGCATGAAAAACCCGACATTTTGGTGTATCACATTCCCCCATCGGAGAGGGGTCCTTTCCCTTGTTTTATACCGATGTTTCTCTGACTATCTCAGTTTACCCCATAGGCGCTGAGTGTAGGCGCTGTGGCCTACTTAGTAGGCGCTAGGCGCTACGACCCACTTATTTAGGCGTTAGGCGCTGTGGCCCACTTATTTAGGGGCTAGGCGCTGTGGCCAACTAAGTAGGCGCTAGGTGCTGTGGCCTGAGGTGCTAGGCGCTGAGGCCAACGTCATGGATAAGTTTGCTCTCACTGGGTTGAGATGAGACGAAATGGGTCCCGGAGGGTCTCGCAGAAAAATTGGTGATCGAAATGGCCCTCGTTTTATTACAACTTTTCAAGTTAGCTCACAACATAACTTTCTTTCCGCATTAAACGAGCCTCTGTGCCCCCCTATGAACCTGAACCAATGAATATAAATGAATATAAATCCGGGCTAAATTTCTGTGCCGCACCAAAAGTTGGGAGAATAATGGCCTGCCACATGGCATGGACAAACACCAGATAGATATTCATATTGGCAATCCCAACTATTTCGAATACGGTCGGTCGTCGAGAGCAGTGGGCTTTGGCAACGTATGCGAGGACTTAACAGCGAAAGTAAGTAGTCATAAAGTTAATCTGGAATGGGGCGAAATCCAATCGAAGCGTCATTATTTCCTGCTCGCTCAACTACTCAATAAAATCACTCCGAATTGCATTACGTAAGGTTATCCCCATTCTCAAGAAATCCAACGAAAACCAAGCTGGCTGTATGCTCCACCAGATAGGGCGACGAAACAACCAACAATAACAAGGGTCGTAAAATCACCAATACTCTTTCGCCTTAATCCGTCATTCGTGTACTTTTCTTGATTCCTTAATACTCCCAACTAAAAATTTTAAAGCTTTCCAGAGGGGCACATATTTCCTGCTTGCATAGAGTTTCCCTATGTTTCTGTAGGTGCTGGCTGAGGAGGAGGAGAAAATGAGTAGTTGTTTCCATTTCCAGTTTTATTGGTGTGCTTTTGTTTATTGCTCCTTTGCATCCACTTGTAATCCTTTATTACACGAATTTTTCCCGTCGTCGCATTTGATGGATTTCCAGCTTTATTGAACATGCAGGAGGAGGCAGGAGTATGAGAAAGCTGTGGTCGGCGTAGGTGCAATATATTTATGTGCATGCCCAAAAGTGGATTAAGTTTTATTGTTGCAAGAGCTGTAGAGGGTCCAATAAATACTTGAGCCCTGTGTTGGATGGAGGAGAACCCTTCTTTCACTATGCGAACTCGGTACAACAAAGTCTGGTCTGTACGACACACATGAGTCGGACCTTATTCCGACAAGAAATTGGGTCGGCTTTTGATTTATGCGTGCTGCAATAAAGTGCATTTGTTTATGATGTGTGCACGTATGTATGGGTGGGGATCGACATGTTTATAACCCTACGGTCGTGGTGCTGCGATGGACGAGTATTGTCACTTCATCCGGCAAAAGTATAATTTGTCCACTTAAACATCCTCGAGGAACATCTTTCCTTTTGCTATGCGTACATATTTACGTGGAAAGGGAATGGGATGGGTGGCGTATGTAGACGAGTACGTGCCTTGAGCAGTGGACTGGGTGGGATGACCCTTTATTGTCATGTCACTCTTCATCCCGCATCAACAAGGGTCCATCATCCAACGACGATTAGTTTACAATCCATCAAACCCACCAATTTCCCAGAGTGAGCACTTTATGAGAAGTGAAGGGTAGCAAACCATCCGTCAGTTCAGCCAGAACAATTCATCGCGATATTCGAATTCTTATTCATAGTCATCCTTCCATCCAGTTAGGGAACAAATGAATGCCGACCGACGCAGTAATATTATTAATAACGGGATGGAGCATCATGTGTATAATGAAGTTTGCTTTTTGGAAAAAATTTCCAGAATTGTTCCTACTTTTCGACCACTACACAACAGGTTTGAGATACATACATATACACCACGCATTGCAGATGATGCTAATCTTGACTTGACTACGGTTTTCCCGAATTTTGTGCTGAATCATAAGAAAATTGAAGTTTGGGGGATTCGAAAAAGGTATAAAACAACGTGACTATTTTGTTGTTGTGAGTGTTGTTTTCTGAAATTGAACACCCCTGCCTGCGTCGATCCTTGGTTGGATGTATTCCTTTGAGGTTGTTGGCGAGCACTTTCCCATTATTTCTTCCCTCCAACGAACTCATGCACACAGGCAAAGGCCACTGTGGTACTTATGCGTAGGGACTTATGTGCAAGCCCTTAATCAGCCTTCGTGAGTGAGTTACAGCCAAAGTTTGGTTCCCCAGCAGAGAGAGCGAGAGAGGAAAGCATCTCAGACTGATCACAGCGAGTGAGATCAAATGGTGGGCAATGAGACCGGTTTCCTTCCTCCACACAACTTCAGTTCTACTCGAAACCTCGGCGAGGACGGAGCTTACTTTGCGAGCGACGCCACAACAAGCAAAGAACTCTTCTCTCTTAAACTGAACCTTGTGCAAAGAAGTCCCCTTCTTGTCTGGTTCAAAGTTTCCACACATTGATAATTTTTTTTGCATCCAGAGTGAAAAAGTGTACATCGTGGTTTATCTCTTCAAGTTGATCGTGACCAATCCTCGCGAATTGTACTCACTGTTGATCCAAATTCAAAATGTGGATCCGTGTGTTGCTCTGTCTGAGCGTGTTTGGTGGGCGTGGGGTGATGTTGGCGGGGGGTGTGCCGATTCAAGGGTCTGGTGTGGGAGGTGAAGATGTGGGAGAGGTCAGTTCACCCCTTCACGTGGCCCAGTGCAGGGCGACCTGTATCCAAGAGGTAAGCCACACATTTGTACAAATATGAAAGCGCTTTCTCTCTCCGAGTTTACGACGACGACGGCGAATTCCCTGCCCGCAAGTTGTACTCCCCTCTCGCCTCGCCTCCTCGTTTGTGTTTCCCTTTATTTGGGCCTCTTGTTGAGACAAAGTTTACGACACTTCAATATTTAATAAAGTTTGATGGACGAATGTGGCGTGGGACGACGACGACTCGTGCACTCCTTTCTCGTTCTTTGATGACGAGAGGAAATAAGCAGTAAATATGGGGCTCATATAGTCATCACTTTCCGTGTGACGGAAACCTTTCTTCCTCGTACATACTTTTAATTGAATTTCTTATTTGTTCCTGAGAGAGGCCATCCACATAAGTAAGTGGACGGTCAGGCGAATGGTATATTATCGGGACAAATAGACAAACACACTGCTCCGTCAGACGAAGCAGGGCCGTACCGTGAAATGGCCAGGCCTGGTATGAGCTTAAGTACCGGGCCCTTGCATAAGTTCAATATACATATGTATTCGATATGTAGTCGTTTTCGCACCATATTCTAGAACGCAATAATATTCTACGGGTATCAAGAGTGCACTATTTTGCCAGTTCTATGGAAAAATAGTGAAAATTTATTGCGTTTTTAACTCAGCCATATTTTTGAAAATATCGGTGGGACGGCGAAAATTCAATTATGAACACTTTAGTTGCAACTAAGGTGTTCATAATTTATTTATCGATAAATGCGCGAATATGACATACTTTTCGGCATACTTTCCCACCACCCTAAATAGAGCCCAATTAGGTCTAACGCTGACCTCATATGCAGGTCAAACCAAGCCGAGCGCATGGGCTCTAAGCGCACATGCGCTCCATCCTCTGAGTCAACGACCCTTGGGGACATGTTTTATATAGTATTCATTTAAATTTTATTTTTTATAGTTTTTTAAACTTTATTTTCTTATATTTATTTTCAAATTACCATAAAATATGCAAAATATTCCCGTACTTTTTTAGGTTTTAAGGTGCGTTTTTAATTAGGCACCGACTTAAATTTAGAAACATCCCGAAATTCATTCTCACAGTGCAATTGTTTTAGCGCCTTCGACAATTTTATATCTCTAACAACCAGTTTTTTAATTTCGTAATCATTTGGTTAGACGGGGATAACTTTTACCCGATTTTGATCTGACAAATGTTTACCTGTTTTTTTTACGGAAATAAGCTGACCATATTTAGGAATTTTTTAAAAATTACTAATTTTAAAATCAAGTTACAATTAGGGATGCACCGAGTACTCGGCCTGTATTTTCACTACTCGGACTCGGCCGAGTATTTTCTCAATTTTGTTGGTCATTTTAACAAATTATTGTGTCCATGAAACTGATTTCAAGAAGTTTTCCTGCATTTTTGGTTTTACAAAACAAACTTCGTAACATTTTTGCGTATTTTAAGTCGAAATTCATCAGCGACGACGATATTAAGGATTTTTTTATAAACTGCACTAGCAATGGATATCACCAAACGTATTCTCACCGATAATAAGTATCTTCAAAATTAGCTAGAATACGCTGGGAAGTGTCCATTGTTATTAGATGTTGCCCGATTGTTATGTATTACTCGGTACTCGGTGCTCGGCCGAATACTCGTTTCAGGAATTTCCGAGTACTCGGGACTCGGCCGAGTCTTATTTTTCACCACTCGGTGCATCCCTAGTTACAATTGGGAAAGTTACAACGCATTGAAAACCTCGGATTTTCGCTGAAAAGAAACATTTAATAATTTCGTCACATGCAAAAAACGCACATTCAAAAAATCGCAAAAATACGTATCAGCTTATCTTTCTGTGAGCAAATAGTATTTGCCAAATACATAATTTAAAATTAGTTCGCTAGTTCATAGCTTGAAACATGGTTTTCGCTTAGTTGACAAGTTCAAAAACCCTTTTCTATTAAGTACCTTTCTATCTATCATAAACGTTTGGAAAACTGCCAACTACATACATTTGGAATTAGTGAAAATGCAGGTCCGGAAACTCAATTCCAGTTAATTCTTAGAAGACGTATTTTTGATTTCTTGACAAATTCGAAAACGTACAGTATTTTGAAAATCCTACGTTCTGGCTGAAAATAGTTTTAAAATTTCATCCAGCTGTAAGAATAAAAGACATACAATTGTAAACATTTGGACCTGAAACAGGCACACTATATATGTTCACAAGCAGTCTGGTTTAAGTGCCGGGGGATTGGAACTTAGTACCTGGGAAACGTCACCCAAAAGTTCCGATTCCCTGGACTTTTTACTTATGCAAGTTACAGGGAAACGGAACCCACTTGTCGCAGGATTTAGCGGGTTTCGATTCCCCGGTACCCTATTAGACAAAAGTTACCATTCCCCGGAACCCAAGATTTTTTTTCGATTTTTCATAAATTGGATATATTTCAGGAAAAAAAATTTATTGCCTCAAATTAACCTCCCACAAATGAGGAAAATTGGATAAAAAAAATTAGAATTTTTTATAGTCGCGCAGGTTCCTAAAATCACAAATTTCTGACAAATTTGAGGAGCGGCAAGCTCAAAAAGGTACGGGGAATCGTCACCCAACAATTATTTTCTGGGAAAAATACGATTATTTTGAGGGAAAAATAATTGTAACACGATAATAACGCAATAATTGTAACAATAACTGTAAAATAATCGTATTTTTCCCAGAAAATAATTGTTGGGTGACGATTCCCCGTACCTTTTTGAGCTTGCCGCTCCTCAAATTTGTCAGAAATTTGTGATTTTAGGAACCTGCGCGACTATAAAAAATTCTAATTTTTTTATCCAATTTTCCTCATTTGTGGGAGGTTAATTTGAGACAATAAATTTTTTTCCTGAAATATATCCAATTTATGAAAAATCGAAGAAAAATCTTGGGTTCCGGGGAATGGTAACTTTTGTCTAATAGGGTACCGGGGAATCGAAACCCGCTAAATCCTGCGACAAGTGGGTTCCGTTTCCCTGTAACTTGCATAACTAAAAAGTCCAGGGAATCGGAACTTTTGGGTGACGTTTCCCAGGTACTAAGTTCCAATCCCCCGGCACTTGAACGAGACTGACATGTGTGCCCCTGGGTTAAATTAAATTTGCCCTTAGCAAGGCGTATTTGAAGTTGTCAAAAGTTGTCAAAAAGTATCTTTTTAAAAGTGCCTTTTTCCTGTCGCATATTTCGGTTACAAGAAATTAAGAATGTACCAACTCTTTACGTACACAGAATTTCCCACAATCCAACAAAAAAAGTACAGTAGCAATATACAAAAATGTTGAAAAAATTTGGTGTCAGCTAATTTACATATGACGGAATTGTAAGTAAAAATGCGAAGGCATGAAGTGATCGTCTCCGATTTTGACCTTGCAAATTTTAAATTGCTAATGCAGAGAAATAATTCGACCCATACCTTTAGGTTTTCTTTAATGAGCCTAATTTCGCTTTTAAATGAATTTTTAAATGCAGTATCGGTTAAAATCAGAATCTTGCATATTAACTAAAATTCGAAAGTCAAACTATTAAATCAAAAAATTACACAGAATGTTTGCTCTAAATCCATACAAAAGTGTAAGCCAATGAAATTCATATAAAAATAATTACACAAGAAAAACAAATGAGATCTACCAGCTCAACGTTAGATGTAAAAAAATTTATTTGCGTGGAATAATTTTTTTGTAAAATCTTTAATACTAAAAACAGTCCATTATATCTAGTGTAAAGCTAGCGACCCGGCCCGGGCCCTTGCGGGCCCCGGGCCTGGTATTTGGTACCACCATATACCACTGTTGTTACGGTACTGAGACGAAGAGCAATGATATTCTGCTCCTTTTCGGTTCACATGGCGAGAGGACGGGGAATAATGATGGCGAGGACAAAGGCGGTGGAAAAATGGTCGAGATCATGCGACCGGGGACGGAGGGCGAATAATTACTGGGAGTGGTAGTAATAATATCTACCCTGGGTCCTCCTGAAAATGATGGCCCTCCTAAACTTGGCGAGCATAAAATTGTATAACCTGGCCGGACGGACGCAGTGTTGTGCTCTGGTGTAATTAGGCCCAATAAAATAAAGGGTCTCATCATCTCTCTCTCTCTCTCCGACGACCTGAGACGAAAATGTGTGACATAACAAAATAAATGGGAGACTCCTCGTGCCCATCTTGCCACGCCAGGTTTCTCCTCATGGGAAGATGTAAACTCTGTAATTTCTCCCAAAGTATCGTGTCCTAAGCCATTTGTCGTCCTCCTGCTCGAAGAGAGACATGCCATGTCAAACGACATGATGGGCACATTGACATTTTTGGATAGTAATGTTTGTGCGTTTACGGCGTGCGGGTGAGGGGACAGGATCTCATTTCATTTCTTCTTCCTCACATTTCGCTTCAGAATAATGCACAACGGAATCTTGGGTTATAAAAAGACGAATGAAATATGGGAACGCACACGAATGGTAGGTTTCGACACGGCCGGAAAAGATTTTGATGCAATTTTGAAATTCATTGCCAACGTTTTAAGAGACGCCTCTTTCCTTCGAGGGAGAGAGAGATGGCCACTTAATTATTTAAACTGATGGCCTTTTTCTTCACTGGGAAGAAGAAGATGGAGACAAATCTGGTGGCGTTTCTTCTCTCTCTCTCTCGACGATGGCAGAAGCCGAGTGACTTATGGTCCTCATTCTTCTCACTTTGATTTAATTATCTTGATGGACAAACCAAGTGATGGTGTGCATGCTTTCAGCCCGTTTACGACAGCCTTTCCCTCTGATTTCTCCTCGATAAGGACGGAGCACCATCGCCACACCCAGAAGAAAAACCTGGTGACGATGGCGATGGTTATTTAAGGAGGAGGGAGGATAATGAATCTCTCCTTTATCTCGATTTGCCCCTCTGATCAGTGTCACATTAGACAGGATAATAGTTCCTCTAAACGTGTCCATTTTTAGACGACAATGCGACGCACAATAATAAATACACTTC